GTATTAAAGCCTTGGGCATGCAAATATTTTGGCCGCAGAACTTGGACATTCCAACAAGACTCAGCACGCGCCAACCAAAAATGGTTACAAAATGAGGTTCCGCTCTTCATTTCCAGCGCACAATGATCACCAAAATCTCCGGATACCAATCCGTAGGACTATTGTGTCTGGAGTATTTTGGAAAGCAAGGTTGGCACTAAAAAATACCAATGTGTCGATCACCTCAAGCAAGCGTTTCGCCGAATGGTCCAAAATACCGCAGAGCAACATTCGGGCAGCGTGTGACGGTTTCATTGGCCGTTTAAAGGCCATTTTTCGTACCAAAGGTGACCAACTCGAACAAATCTAAACTTATTTTAAAATTTGATGCTATTTCTGACATTTTTTGCTTTCATTCAATAAAATTAAAAAAGATATATATAAAAATTATGGGGTTTGACTTTGTTGCAGTTTTTTTTATCTCACCCTGTATATACTTTATGGGGTCTACGACGAAAATTTAAGGATGTTACAAACGGAATGACAAATATACCCTCCCTTTCAAAGTGGAGGTTATTAAAACAACAATGGAACTCCTTGATTAAAAATATATCTTGTTTGAATGATAGCCGAACTTCGAGTTTGCCATCGAATGTATTACTGAAAACTTTCTCAAACGATTTCTCACATTTTTATTTTCATATTGAGTTTTTCATTTCATGGTTATCAAGGAAAGCAAGTTCATCCTAGTTTTATAATCTGCAGCAAACCAGTTCACGATGCCACCATTTTCAGAAGCCTAAAAATTTCACTTGGAACGTTATACTCTAGATCTGTTCATCCGTTGCGCAAACAAATTTTCTCTAGAATATTTGGCAACGCGTTTGAAATAATATGTTGAAGTTCCTGACTTCATTGATAAAAATTTGCACTTTTTGGGATCGGAAAGGTTATTCTTTGACCAAATATGATGTTATTTTTAAATGCAAATATTAGGAAATATTCGATCTGTTGCCTAACAAAATACGATAAAGAATTACGAAACATATTTTAAAATCGTGTGTGGTCTATGAATCCATTTTTGGATAAATTACCATATCAATCAATTTTCAACTTGTAACCAAGCACTTGGCTTTCAACAAGTAATGAATAATACAATTATTACAAAATATTGCTGACTTTTGGAAAAAGAAATAATTACAGAAAAAAATCACCACCGCAAGCAAAGCAAAAGAAGAGGGCAAAAAATCGTACTGCTCGAACATACCTGAGGTATGTGAGTGAAAAATCATTTTTTTCCAATATTTTTTGTGCTATCTTCGAACATGTACAACTCTTGTAATAACACATTACAACAAAAATAATAACAAACAGCAAAAAAAAACCTAACAAAAAAACAAAAAGAACAAAAAAACCATACACAAATCGATGATAATGATTACAACTAAATCACAATGAGTAACACGGTAGATAAGTGTCGAGTATGTGTGTTTGTGTGGTTGTGTGTTTCTTAATTGTTAAAATGATTTTTTTTTGTAATTTACAAAAGTCCATTTAACGCTTAGGTTTACAAAAAAAGAGCGAAAAAGCTATAACATTTTTGACCCAATTGTTGTGTGGTCAGCTATTGACAAGTGTTTTACAGCCATAGTACTACGAGCGAGAACCGCCCCGCGTTCTCGCCCTTTTCATTGGGGACTTGAAATTATTATTTTTTTTTTTTTTCAACAAAGAAAATAATTTGCAATTAATAATAATTATTTTTTGTTTTACGAAACAAAGTCAATAACCTTTTAGAATATTTATTTATTCTGTAAGCAGGCATAACAACAACAATAATAATAACAATATTAACAGCAACAATAACAGCAGCACCATCAGCACTACCAGACACCGCTGCTCTGCGCCCCCCTTTTTGTTTCCACCACTGGCAGTGTACAAAGTACCATCGATTGTTGTCACCTATTTTTTAATCGTTTTTTGTTGTTTTTTTTTTTAAGACAACAAATTTATTTAGTTGTGAATAAAACAAAATGCTTTTAAATGGGGGAAAATCTATTAAAACTTGAGGATTTGTAACAAAGCAATACCCTTTGTAAACAAAGGGTAATGTCTTACAATGCTTTGTAGAATTTTTCCTTGGTGTGCATCAGGATGAAAAATTGAAATTTAAAACTCAAATAATTTTTTTTTACTTATATCATAAGCTTGCACAAAATACGTGGAATTAAGACAGGAAATAAAACAAACTAAAATATTTCAGCCGGTATTGCCAACAGATTTATAACCTCAGCTAATTGTCGTGGTTTTTTTTTTTTTTTTTTTTTTTTTTTTTTTTTTTTTGCTGGCGTTATGATTGGGAGAAGTTCCGAAGATAGTGGGACAATATTGTCCACTTGGTATCTGACCTAAGTGTGAAATAATTATTTCATAGTGCCAGATTTGACCAATATCGACTACTTCCTTCCCTTTATGTGAGATATGTGATCATTTTTGGAAAAATGTTTAAATGTGCGTAAGGTACAAGATAAAATAAACCGAATTAATCCACTTCATCTAATACTGCTAAAAATATTGAGATGTAAAAAATTTAAAGAAAATCTAACATGTTAGTCAAAAATTGAACCTTTTGTGGATGAGGTACCAGGTCAATAAATTCCACATTCACATCTGATTTATGGTTGAGAGAAATATTTAAATACACCAAATTTTAAAAGAATCGCTGTAATGTGAGGTGTAAGTACTGAAAACTGTGAGCCTATATTGCGGAGGTACCAGAAGGTGTGGGTCGATAACAATCATCTTCACACCAGATCTTGCGTTAATAAATGCATTGGAATATGTGAAATTTTAAGAAAATCGGATGCTTATTTCTTTTGATGAGAGAGATACAATTATTCAAAAACGAACGGACACCCCTAGATCGACTTCAAATTTCTGTAGCCATATGGCTACAGAAGAAGAATTTTGAGTGGAATGCCTTTGATGGTTATAAATTTGCTAGGTTTTTATGAATATTTTCTTTAAAAAATCAGGATTTTTGAAAAAAAAAATTTGTTGATTGCCATAGAAAAACTCAACATTTGGTCAGGTCGATTGGCATAGAATTTACATTTCTTGAGCAATATTCCAAACCCTGTAAAATTACTGATACACTACATTACTGATATACTACAATGCCAAATTCAGTTGAAGATGTGACTTAAATCTTCAAAATATTATAATTTCCTAAGATTTCAAAATTTAAAAACACACCATTTTGCCTGAAAATGTGGCCGCCCTAAAAAAACAACAAGTAAAAAAGCAGCTAAGTTCGACCATGCAGAACCTTCAATACTTTCCACCATTTGCAAAATGTAAAAAATTGCGTTGATAAAGGCCGCTAAATTAAAAAATTGTGAATATCAGGTGTTTTACATTTATGGGGCGAAAACGTGGTCCTCTAGAGCCAATTATCTGCCAGCGAGGGCGGTGCATATTACGAACAAATGCATACTAATTTTTAGATTATTTTGTTAAAAAACGTAGGTAACATCATAAAAATGCCGAATGTAGGGGTACCGTTATATTGGGGCTTTACGAAGACGTGGATCTGCACAGGAACATTTTTTTGAAGGTGGTATTAATTACGAATTCCAAATGCCAAATTTTGAAGAAATTCCGGTGAAGACTGTGACCTATTCTACGGACCTAAACTGCGTCTCAACAAAATTTTATCAAACCACTTCATGTTGTTCGGAAGTTAGATTGACTTCCATAGACGGACAGAAAATCAAATATTATCGATGTACGATGTCACAGTAAAAATAGGGACTTAGGTTACAATTCTCTTCTAGGGGGTAAAGTACTCAGAAGGAAACTCTTGTGTGAATTTCAAAACAATTTCATTGAAAATTTGCCTGAAATCATCAAAATGCCGAATATCGGGGCTATACGGTATCGTGGACCTATATAAAATCCATTAAAAATTCTGTTAAAATCTTAAAAATACCGAATACCGGAAGGTGCCGATTTATTGGGAGGATATACAATATTTGGACCTATATAGACAAATCTATGTCTGGGGGTAAAGTACTCACAAAGAACTCCTTGTGTAGAATTTCAGACAATTCCGTTCAAAAATGTGGCTAAAATAATCAAAATACCGAATATCGGTAGGTGCCGTTATATGGGGGCTATGACTTCTACCTTGACCTGCCTGCATACAAAAGACAGATCTGTGCAAAAGTTTACAAAATTTACAACAGACGTACGGTGGAGGGTATAAAAAGAGGAATTACATTCAATTCGTTTGGCAGTCGGGAGGAGAAAATTTCGAAATACCGCCCTATGCGGGCTGCACCAAACAGAGGGCCTTATTGAACATTTTCTAAAGGTTTGCATCATATATCTTTGATTGGAGCTATAAGAAAAAAAGTGGACTTAAACACAAAATTTCACATCGGCAGCAACATTCACTGGAAATTGTGGGAGCAACAATTTCTACATATACCATTAAATACCAAATAGAAAAGATGTCAAAATGGTCAGGGTACCAAAGGGGTTTTATACCCAGAAAAAAAAAGCAAAAGTATGATAGCATTATATCAATCAATACAAAGGTCATACTTTACATATTACCATAAACAACCCCGTCACCAGCCCCCACTACATGCCAAAAGAAATAAAATTTAAAAATCGCCAAAAAAAAACATGACGCGATAACATTTTTCTTTAAATGTAAACATTTAACCTTTGTCAAGACAAGGAAAGAAAAATGAAAGGAAAAACTTTTGCTCTCCGATCGATGAACATGACAATGCACATTTTACTTTTATTTTGTTTTTCCTATGGACGGGATTTTCGTTTGGCCACAACTAAATACCAAGGAAAATAAAATTTCACCAAACAAAAGACAGCCGTCCATAACCCCTTCTCCACCCCCCACCAATCCAACTACAACATGTTATGAACAAAACCTGATTTTGGTAATGAAAAACGAAAAAAATTGACATTTGTAAGAATAAGTGAAGAGGACTTACCTTTTAAAGATCATTGAATCCTTTAATTGAAGACATGATGTAGGAGAAAATAAAAAGGTAAGAGAACGTAACGTCGTATTGAATTTGCGTATTATCCACTTGCGAATTTTATTTTCCGGATGAAAAGCGAAAAATGTATATAACCGACCGTAGCAATACGAATGAACCAGGACGGAATGTTACGTTTTCAGAAGAGTTGGTAATGAGTTGATTTCAATATTTTTGAATTGTGGGTGTAATATGTTTTCTTGTTGCTTTGCAAACTTTTTCAAATTTCTTTTTTCACATTGTATTTTTTTTTCAATTTGTTTTGGTTTTGTATGGATGCTGGCTGTGGCTAGCTTAATTTCTACTTCTTCTTCAACTCTTTTATTTTATTGAATAATTTTCACATTTCTTTTTTTCACTTTTTGAAAAGTGATCGTACATTACACCACGTTAGGCAACGTTACATTTGTTTGTATGACGACGTCGACGACAACAACCACGACGTATTCCTTCCTACCGTTGACCCCGGTTGTTTTTTTTTTATTTCTTTCGTTTTTTTTTTTGCAGTTTAATTTTTTTGCTGTTGTTGTTGTCGTTGCTACTGCTGTTGCATTTATTGTTGTTGTCGTTGTTGACTTGATATCGCGTGCAATCTTACGTTTATTGACCTTGGTATGAGAGCAAGTATGATGATCAATGAACGAACGAACGAACAACCGAATGAGACACACTCACACAACACTGTCGGCCAGCCAGCCAGCCAGTCAGCAGCTCTCAGTTGCAGCAAACCCGATGATCATTAACGTTTATTTTTGTTGCTGTTGTTGTTGTTGCTCATGTACTTGCTGCACCAGAGTAAAAGTATCCGTGTTTGATGCAATGCAAGTTGGCTGTCAATTATTATGGTTGGGAGAAAGAGAGTGAGAGTACAACGAATTAACTCCCCACCAACAATAAGGAAGAAGAAAGAGTGAGTGAGTTTGGCTTGTTGGGGTTTGTTTGATTTTGCTGCTTGCTTGCTCGATTGTTGTTGCTGTTGTTGTTGACTTTTCAAGGGGGGATAACGTAACTTGTATTTACAAAAATTATCGCATAACAGCAGCCAAGTACACCAATGGATTTAACAATTGCTGCCGATGACGTTTCGTGGAGGGCAGCTAACTTTTTGTGTGCTCCTCCTCCAAAACATAGACACAAAAGGAGATAATAATTTTTTGAATTATTTTATTTTTAATTTTTTGTTTTTTAAAAATATCACTTGATTTTTTTTTCTTGTCACAGACTTATGTTTTCGGTAAGGCAGTTAAGGATTGCTGGCAGAATATTTGGAGGTTTATTTGTTTTTATTTTTTGAAAGGCATATATTGGGTTTTATGTATATTTTCTTAAGGCTAATTTGGCTTTTTCTTGTCATAAAATATTTAAAATTCCAAGAACACAAAAATTATATTAGGCAGTAAAGTTGGCTGAAGTTAGTTTTAGGGGTACCCCCTTTTTTGTTTGTTCAAAATTTCACTTTTTTTCAAATTTTATTTTGAAAATCCACAAAATGATTTTTTGGCGCCTTCGCCATTTGGTTTGGTGGCCGTTGGTATTTTTTGTTTTTATTTTACACGCATAAACAATTTTTGGTTTTAAACAATTTTTGTTTTTTTTTATTATTCTCAAAAAACGCAGCACTACACGCTATTTTGCCGTTTGTTTTCGGTTTTATTTTTTGTAGCTACTGAAAATTTTTGCTCTGTTTTAATTTGTTTTCAAAAACAACCGTTCGATACAAAAGTCCGCTGTAGACTAAACTAAATAAACGTCGAAACATGCCGCTCACATGGAAGCTTACAACAAACCCCACATCATCATAATCGTCATCATCATCAAGTTCATCACACAAAAAGCAACAGCAACAGCAGTATTGCCTGCACTCACCGTGGCCGTCGTGTGGCTCTCGCCAGTCAAGTAAACAAACAACAATGCCAGGCCTACGGCTGGCGCTCTCTTGTCTCTTGGCATTATTGTGGGGGTCATTGCAAAAGCAAAGCAAAGCTCTTAAAATTATTGCAACATCTGACGATATGGGGGGAATTATTTCTCTTCGTCTCTTTTTTTTGGCAATGTAAACATGTAAGTGTTGCTCTTTATTTGCCATTTGTTGTTGGGTCCAAGAGGATTTCTATTATTTGATAAAGATGTGAATATAGATTAGACATTTGTTTAATGATTAAAAAGTTTATACAATTAATACAAAACATAATTAATTTAAAAAACATAATTATTTGCCTTTATAGTTATTAAATTTGCCAAAGAGAATTTCATTTAAGAGAAACTTGTAATGAGAATATGTTTGTAACAGATGTAGGGTTAAAATATAAGTAAATTAAATTTTGTAACATCAGCCACATAAAAAACAATTTCTAATTTTACATTTCTATTGTTAAGTGGAAAAAGCCACCAGATGCAGAACGCCATATCAATTCCTAACACAAATTGGTACAATTCCCTTAAAAAATGTAGCTAAAATAACCGTTTACATGCGTACAAAAGCATTTTGTTGAGAATTTTCCAGAAAAAAAGTTATTCGTGATGGAATTCAAGCAGGATAGTATGATTTCTTTATATTTGGCTGGAAAACCACAAGTGGCTATCGTTAGAACATCTAAATGTAAATAAATCTTTTGTGTCTCGTACCATCGGACGTCAAGGATGTAGACGGAAAAAACGGCAACATCAACAGAAATGGTTCGAAAAGTAAACAAGCGACTTGATCGAAACCCGTGTCGCAGTGGCCGAATCGAAAAATGGCTCGTGAGCTGAACATATCCCAATATTCCATTCGGCAAATATTGAAAAATGAGCTCGGGGTAAAGCCATTGAAATTCCAAAAAGTGTAAGAATCTACACCGCAACAGAAAGAAAATAGACTCAAAAGAGCTAAACAGTTGCTTCGCTTGGCCGAAAGTGCTGAACTGGCGAATTTGTGTTTCTCCGTCTCCGATGAGAAAACATTCGTTGTCCAGCAGTTTGTAAACAAACAAAATGATCGTGTTTACTTGCCAAAGAGCTGAAAATTTGTACCTTCGATTGACCACCAGATCTCAATTTCATTTCCAGCTCACAATGACCACCAAAATCTCCGGATACCAATCTGGTGGATTATTGTGTCTGGAGTATTTTGGAAAGCAAGGTAGGCACTAAAAAATACCAAAGTGTCGATCACCTCAAGCAAGCGCTTCGCCGGGAATCGTCCAAAATACCGCAAAGCAACATTCGGGCAGCGTGTGACGCCTTCATTGGCCGTTTGAAGGCCATAATTCGTGCCAAAGGCGACCAATTCGAACAAATCTAAACTTATTCTAAAGTTAGATGCTATTCCCGACATTTTTTGCTTTCATTTAATAAAACTTAAAAAAATTAAAAATTATGCCGTTGACTTTGTTGCAGTTTTTTATCTCACCCTGTATGAAGGATTTACTTAAACGTGGATCTATGTAGACAATGTTCTTCCATCGAAGGTGGAATCCTCCAAATCTACATATCAAATTCTCCTTTAAAAATGTGGCTTAAATCATTGAATATCGGAATATAATTTACAGGTGTTGAAAACGGATTGGCAAGGTAGAAGGTATAAAAATCCATGGTACAATGAAGAGAAGGTAGGTCAACTTTGAAAAAATTGCAAGTATAGAGGTCTACCTGTTTGGCTTGTAATGTCAAAATTAGTATCAAAACAATAAAAAAATCAAACAACTTGTTGCATTTATTTTGAATAAGTAATTGAAAACCGCGATAACTGAATGAAAGGTCAACACCTCTTTTCAAAATCATGTACTATATATCTCTAAAGGATCATTTCGCTACAAAAACTCTAGATTTTGTCGATGCATACGTTGAAATAAACATTTTGAAAACATCCGAAGTTGAATATTTTCTGAACAATTTTTTTGTTATTGAAAAGAAAACACATATATAAACAAATAAAGATGACATATTAAGCCAAGAAAAAAAAAATCATATGGTATCATAACCCTACCTTGATATCATTGTACCATGTAAAAATCCACTTTTATTATATTGTTGTTAAAAAAATATGAAGAAGTATTTATGTTCCTAGAAAAATAACTTTTAAAAGTGCGACGATTTTATTTTTATATCCACAATTTTATGATCCCTAAAAATTGACATATTTCTAAAAAATCACAATTCTGCAAATGTCCTTAAAATAAAATTTGTTAAAAAATCAACTTTTTTATGACCCTTGAAAACTAATTTTAAAAACAATATTGAATCTATTGGAATATGGATCCACTGTTAGTCAAGGACCCAAAAACATTCTAATTTTTCTGGAACTTAATCCGCTGTAACTTGACACTATTGGATTTAAAGGTTTTTGAATTCACAAAACCTCTGATATAGGTCCACTATTTGGCAAAAGACCCTTGTAACGAAATCTTCGAAATTATTCTACTTCAGAGATTGCATCCACGATTTTCAACCCAATTATTTGTGGCGTCTTATTGGAAAAAATTTTCGTAGTAAGAAATGTTTTAAAATCGGGCCATGTGAAAGATCCTGTAACAATTTTCTAGACGAAGGGTGTTCAAGAAATTGGAATTTGTCCTAAAATGGGTAGCTATGGCATCAGATAATAACATGCAAGTTACAGATATTTGTCAATTTTTTTTTAAATTAAACAAAAATTTCCTCTTCCATTAGGCACCACGCCCACAGAGTCAATTATTCCACCCACAGAAATGTTGTACAGTTAAATTGAATTTTGCAAGCATTCATTACAAATCAGTGGGGATGAAATGGACCTGTTCTCGTTGAGGTCTGAACTAATGTGTATGGGTATGACGTGCAATACTATCATGGTACTATATTGCTATCTCTGAAAAAATCGAACTCGAGGTGTCACCTCTCGCTCAGTAATGGGGCAGGGAGTGGAATCCATCGCAGTAGTTACATGGGAAGATTTCCCATAATGTACTCTCGGGAAATATTCATAAGTATGTTGTAGAGAATTCATGTGTATGTGGAAGAAAAGAGTGAGAATTGAGTTGGTCCACAAGCTTCTTCACAAAAACTATTTCATGAAATCTTTCGGGCAAACTTTCCTAACATCGGAAATTTTAATTACACTTCGCACAACATATTCACTTACCCGGTTATAATCAGTGAACCTCGTCTGCTTATGGTCTTGTTTTCCCCCTTTTTTTCTTCCTTGAAGCAAGCATAAAGATTGCGCGGAAAATTTCTGTGTAATTCATAAAAAATTATTCCTTGAAGTGGGACAAACTATTTCCACTTACCCGTTGACGTCCATAAGCATGAACTCCTTGTAAAATTGCTGCATCCACTTGCATTTTGGTCATTTGGCTTCTTGAGTTTTTATTTGCGCCAATTTGATATGGCTTGGCTTGACTTGTTCGCAATGCAAACATTCGTATGTGACTTTCCGCCATTTTTTTGCTATATGTGCAGAAAATTTCATCGCCACGTCAATATAAGGTCACCCATGCTCACAACGAATGTATTTTCCCTTTAAAATTTGTATTAACACACATTTTTTTGGATTAATTCCATTAAATTTTCTAGATTTTCAATCACACCACTGAACAGACATTCCGTTATGTTGCTATTCTTTGTGTTATTCAAAGTCGACCTAATTCTCCCTAACATTCATTTGTTAATTCTACGAGCTGAGCTGGTTCACACAGTGAATAGTTCCATTGAACAGAACACACAACTTAAAAACAGAGGAAAAGTCATTTGTGGATATTGTTTTTTCGCGATTTAAATAAAGAACTTTGTGATTGTTGTTATTCTGAGATGTTGTAAAGTATGCAAAATACCATAGTGTTGAAAATATAACAGCCTTTCAGACTTTTCCCATGTAAATTTGGAGAAATCACTTTTTTCAATCTTCGTTGAAAAGCAATACACAGTGAAAATGCTTCTTCTTGTAATTCCTTTGTAATAATGGGTTCAGGCAAAATTTTCCTTGCCCAGAACAAAGCCTTGATAAGCGTAATCTGGATTTTTGTTTATAAAACAATTGTGGAAATTGCTTAAGTTTTTCTATTTTTCAGATGCCATGAGAATCTCAAAAATGATTTTCACATCGCTCACGGTCGGTTAAGAACAACTTCAAAAAGGACCTGGAGTCCTTGACCAAATATCATTGGATTTAGTGTGATAATCCTCCGCAGTGTGGTGTAGTTTTCATCAAACAGCAACGTAGCTGGTACCAATAATTGTTTGGTATTTTGTTAAGCTACCTCCTTACATTCCCCGAAGCACCAATATTTGCAAGGAAAATGGGTGGATCCGTAAGTCAAATTTTCCGTTCTGGATCAGCATTGCTGTCCCATCGTGATGGTCATAAGGTTTCCAAAGAAACGACTGAAAAAATCACAACGCTCTTTGAAATTTTAAGAGCCAATCCAAAAATCTCCATACAACCACTAGAATCATTGCTATTAGAAATTCCAAAGGTACGTTGCTCACATTTTTAATTTATTTGATGGCTATATGATTAATTTTTCTACTCTTCTTTTAGAATGAAAACATTTTAGTAATACACGACGATTGTGGCTTTAATATATTACAACGAGCTGTAGGTCTAAATCATGTTGAGTTGACAAAATGGCTCTTGCAGCGTCATAGGCCAGATGTAAACCGCAGCCCCTGTTCCCTACCTCTGCATATTGCCTGTCTGAAGGGTCACGAATCATGTGTAGAGCTATTATTGAAATATGGTGCCCGAATCGAATGTGATTCCCGCATGTGCTTTCCCGGTTCACACTCATCCAACTGTGAACTGTTCCAGTGGAATGCCAACAATCATTATGAGGATGTTGAGTTTAGAGAACGTAATTTTGACAACTCTAAATTGCAAAATGCAATTTGTTATGCCATAGATGGCGATCAAATTAATGTGCTGAATATATTGGTACAAAAGCTCGATGATCCATGGGTAAAAAATTGAAATTTAAATATTACTTAGATTATATCAACCACATTACGTTTCAACTTTTAGATACCATTTCGCTCTAAACGTCCTGTTTTCCATTTACTTCACATGGCCTGTGAACGTGGAGCTTGGAACTGTGTCCAGCAACTGGTGGTAACACGTTCCGATGAAATCAATCTTATTAAAGATGAATATTATCCCATACACCATGCCGTGTTACACGATATGCGTTTTCTGGAATTATTAATCCAGCACGGTGCTGTGACCACAGTTCGAACGTGTACCCAACAATTTACACTCTTACATATGGGTGAGATTTATTAAAAAAAAATCTAAATTGCTACCCCTGCATAAAGAGTTGTTTCTTTTCTTCCAGTTATATTCATAGCTAGAAAATCTGCTGAAGATACATTAAGTATGTTAAGAATCTTATTGGAACGTGGTTGTAAGGAATTAATCAACGAACCAGATGTCTTGGGCAATACACCATTACATTCCCTGATCGTACGATATGCCTTAGAGGAGGCAAGGTAAGATTTTGTTTAAAAGAATTTTTTAGAATTCCGTTTTACCTATGAACTGATCGAACTCATGTCAAAAGACCCCTATTCTATAATTATGAACTGATTATAAGATTTATATGCCTTATAGATGCTTTTAATAATTGTTTTTCCCTTAACTCTCCCCAGATACGGCTACGATAAGTGGAGCAAATGGGATGTTTTACATTTAGTTAGATTCCTGCTACAACATGGAGCCAAAAACTCAATCAATCAGGCTGGCAATAGTGCGCTGGCTTGTGTGTTCCGCCACATACGTGATATGGATGTTTGCTTTGAACTGCTCAGCATGATGATCGAGGACAGCGATCCAAATATTGTGGGGCGTGACGGTTCCGTACCCATCATGGTGTTGTTAATACCATTAATCAACAAAGATACCCTACAACATTATACTCATTCTATGAAGGTAAATATCTTAATTGTTTTAAAATTTCATTGTCAACATTTTTATGGAAATCTCTATTTTCAGGTTTGTTTTGTAAATTGTATACGCATTTTGCTGCAACATGGAGCCAATCCCAATTGCTCGTATCACCACAATCTAACACCACTGCAGGTGTTGGTCTTTACAGTGAGTGAAAATTTCACCTTAAGCAGTGACACCTTAAGGCAAACCAACTTCGATTTTATTAAAAATATACTCCTGCTCCTCTTGCAACATGGCCTGGACTGCAATCAAACATATCAGAATATATTGCAAGCTGTCATGGACATGGTACGAAATGTACGCGATGTTAGTGATCTAAATCGTATACACGATTTGACCCTGACGCTCATACAATATGGAGCTGATCCAAATATAGTATTAAGTAATATGACCACTGGTGGTGCCATCTATTCTAATGAAATAGCAAGGTTTGGAGATGCCCTAGGCTTGACTGGTTCCAGTTCGGAGAGTAATGGTGCTGGTGGGGCTGGTACTGTGGCGAATAGTGGCAATACCAATGGTAACTCGTCGGTTGGCGAAACGGCGGCTACTCGACAATCTCTTGGTGATACCTCATTCCGTAACTCATTTCGCACAAATTCTCGCTATTTATTGTTCTACTACATTGTGTTGATCACAAAGAAAGATTTCATACTCAACGATCCAGATGTGACATTTACCCGCATTATTTTACTCTTCTATGCCACCATGCAGCATGATACTCTGTACAATTGCCTGAAATCTCTGCACAATTTCTATGTCGCCCAAGTTCCAAGTAAAAAGACGGAACAATTAATTGCTGTCATTTCATCGCTATATCGTAAACCTCGCAGTCTGAAACAGTTGTCTCGTCTTGCCATTTACGAATCGTTAAATCGAAAATTAGCTCAAAATGTAAATAAACTTAAATTACCGGGTATGCTTAAGGATTATGTGTTGAATTTCGATAAGTAATTTGAACAGAGAGGAGTTAAGTGAAACAAAGGAACAAAGTTAAGGCATATGATACGTTTAAAATTGGTAAAATATTTTTTTCTAGAAACATTTTTTTTAATTCTATGGACTGAAATTATTAGAATTAGAATTATAGAATTTCGGAATATCATTAGGGGACAAGCATGTGACTGTGTGAAATTAGGTAAAGAATAAATTACTGGATTATTGCCAACAAGAATGTGACTACAGGAATACACAAATATTTGAAAGGAAGCTCAAAAATGTTGACCTTGCACATTTGATTACATTGGGAGACTGTAGGAATACATGCTGTCATGTGTGTAAAACTCATTTGGAAATAATCGAGAAATTGGCTTACAGATTTCCCTGCACAAATTAAGGTTGACTTTAGAGCATAGAAATCATTTGTAAACTCAAATCTTAAAACCATTATTATTGAACTGAATTTAGCAAATCAGGGCAAATTTTTAATTAAAAAAATAAAGAAACGTAATTTTATGTGCTCATAATACGAAGATAAATTAGTGTCTGTAAATTGCAAAACAACAAAGAAAGTTAACAACATTTTCGATGTTATGTATCTTTTAAACAAAACACAAAGCAACAATAACAATAAAGAAAACTAAATGTATTTAAGATCTCTCAGCTGTATGAAGCGCACTTATATTGAACCACATAAAATCCAAACCAATTCAAGAACAAATGCCATTAAATCATTCACTCACTCACAGATACATACAATACAATATACATACTTAAATACATTCTATTTGCCAAAAAGAAGAGAAAGTAACATTTTACATATATATATATATTAAAGCAAAACAAATTCAAGCCATATTAATATTATTATATTTATTGTTAAATATTGTTCCTGTTAAAAAACAAAACAAAGTAAAGCGAAAATGAGAAATATTCAAGAATAGACAAACTCAAGCAAATCCAATAATTACATTCATGTCGGAAAGCAAAGAAGAAAAATACATGCATACATATTTACCTAATATAATTTATTTGTAAACATTGTTAAATATTTTTTTATACATTAAGAAAATGTATTCAAATTTAAAGAATTTAATGTTAAATAAATACAAAAAAATAGGTATATAAATACATAAGAAATGTAGTTTTGGAATTTAATATAAAACAGCTGCGAAAATGAACAATATCGACCCACTTACACAAAGTGTCAACATTTTGAATAATTATACCTTTTATGAAATGGGAAATAAAGAGTCCGGTTGTCTTCAAAGTTCTCACATTTCAATATTCACCCCTATTATGAAAATAATTTCCAATAAATTTTGTTCCCATTTCCCATTGTTATTATTATGATTTGAAGGAATAATAATAAGGAATATGACGAAAGAATTTACCAATTGTTAAATATAAAAGAGGATGTGAAAGCGATAAACGACTCCTTTGTATTTGGAGGTCCTAATACAAATAAGGAGAATATAGACGCAGCAGTAGAGAGTGGAATTTATTTGGAAATAGACACTCCCACTCCGTTAACTTCCTTCAGTACTGTTTAACCATCAGCAAAAATTGAAGCATCAAGAAAGATTTTTGCTTCCAGCATATCTTAATATTTTTATCCACATAAGATCTGGTATGAAGATGATAACTTGTGACACACATTTTGATAACATATGTCATATGGAGTAAATGAAGTAGTTGATATAGTCCAAAGTTGTAAAATGTACAGGGTGAGATAAAAAAAAAACTGCAACATAGTAAAACGCCTTAATTTTAACATTTTTTAAACTTTATTGAATGAAAGCAAAAAATGACGGAAAAAGCATCAAATTTTAGAATAAGTTTAGATTTGTTCGAGTTGGTCACCTTTGGCACGAATTATGGCCTTCAAACGGCCAATGAAACCATCACACGCTGCCCAAATGTTGCTCTGCGGTATTTTGGCTCATTTCCGGCGAAGCGCTTGCTTGAGGTGATCGACACTTTGGTATTTTTTGGGGCCAACCTTGCTCTCCAAAATACTCCAGACACAATAGTACAACGGATTGGTATCCGGAGATTTTGGTGGCCATTGTGCGCTGGAAATGAAGCGAGGAACCTCATTTTTAACCCTTCTTAAGTGGCGCGTACTGAGTCCGATGGTGCTGTGTCCTGTTTAAATGTCCAAGGTCTACGGCCTAAAATGTTTGCGTGCCCAAGGCTTTAATACACCCTCCAGAATATTTTGGCGATAATATTCGGCATTTATTCTGATGCCACGATCGATTAATACGAGCGGAGATCAACCATCGGCTGTTATGGCGGCCCACACCATCACCATTACCGGCGCTTGAATTCTGGTGGCCAACCGAAGGTGCACATTTTCAGCTGACCTCTTTGGCAAGTAAATACGATTTGTTTACAAACTGCTGGACAACGAAAGTTGTCTCATTGGAGACGTAGAAAACCAAATTCGGCAGTTCACCACTTTCGGCCAAGCGAAGTATCTCTTTAGCTCTATTGAGTCGATTTTCTTTCTGTTGCGGTGTAAGTTTTTGCATTTTTTGGAATTTCCATGGCTTTACCCCGAGCTCATTTTTAAATATTTTCCTAATGGAATATTGCGATATGTCCAGCTCACGAGTAACGAGCGATGGTACGAAACACAATTGAATTCCATCACGGATAACTTTTTTCCCGAAAATTTTCACTAAAAATCTTTTGTACGCTTGTAGACGACGCTTGTCGGACGAGTGGCTTAGAAATGACAGCGGTCTACAGTTGGTTGCAGTTTTTTCATCCCATATCTGTTATAATTTGCGGCACAATCAGCGACTTTTATAAAACTTAATATATCTAAATATTTTACACAATCAAAAATATGATTGAATATGAAATTTATTGGTCCACTTCTTTTTAGAACTTTCCCACAAAAGGTTAACATTTTGATTACATATACATTACATCTAAAGTAAATGAAATATCGACTTAGTCAAAATCTGGCACGTGTGTTATTTATATTAGACTTAGGTCAGAAACGGAATGGGTAACATTGTCCCACTCTTTTGGAACCATCCACACAAAGGGCAACAATTTGAATATTCATAACGAAAGTCAAAATGTATTTCAAAAAAAAAAAAAAAAATTATTGAATAAGGGTTCAAATTTGTCTACAATACCGACTGATACTTTTTAACTTGTTTAAATAAATTTCAAGCCATAATTCTGAATTTCTTAATTTTATTTTAATATGGGAATTCCAATTTTCTTTCACAAATTAAAAATACCTTATTTACATCATTTGAGTAACAACAATTTTTATTTACCACATAACACTTTACAAATTTGGCTTTTTTGGTACTTCATAAACATTATCGAATGATGGACTCGACCGATAATTTCAAATAGAAAAACAAATTATAAATGCATTTGTAAAATAACAATTATATACTAATTAAATGTAGAAAATTGTATATAAAGAAAAAAAACTAAATCTAGTTACAAACATCCTGAGTTTACATCCTCAATATTGATAATGGATATTTGAATATACGCTTCTTGGGTTTCCTTTTTACGATAAACCTAACTGGCACAGGATAAGTCATCTATAAAACACTCACGTTGATACACACAAACACACAATCTCGGTGATGTTACCCTTTTTTCATTTATCGCAATTATTTTATGATTCTCATTGACTTTAAATTAAAATAGTAGGTGGTGATAGATGTTGATAATAAAGACACTTGAACCGAGAATTTAAAGAATCCATCACATTAGAGGGAGGGGGAGTTTGAAATTGTTTGAAATGTCGTTAGTCTATGCAGTTTCATTTTCAATGTGAAATTTTGGAAATATTTCAATATTTATCATGATTGTGAAGTGATTGCAAAATTACAAGTTCCGTTTGTTTCAATAATTACTCGATTAGTATACAATTAACAAATTATCTTCATTGAATCCAGCTGAGTGTCCAGCATTGCGTACAATAAAACTGGAACCATCGAAATGCATGCGTTTCTCATTGCGCCTAAAAAAGTAGAGATGAAGGATCAAATAAAAAAAAGGCAAGTAAGAAAACAGTAAGTTCGGCCGGGCCGAACTTTGAATACCGTCCACCTTTTTAAACGAATTTTTGAAATTTTCAAAAAAAAAAAATAATAAAATCCGTTAAAAATTCTATTAAAACCATAAAAATACAAAATGTTTATTGGGGTCTATAGAAAGACGTGTTATAAGCCATAAGCCATAAACAGCAACATCAGCAGAAACGGTTCGAAAAGTAAAGAAGCGACTTGATCGAAACCCGCGTCGCAGTGGCCAAAAAATGGCTCGAGAGCTGAACATATCGCCATATTCCATTCGGCAAAAATTGAAAAATGAGCTCGGGTAAAGCCATTGAAATTCCAAAAAGTGCAAGAGCCTAAGAGTTGCTTCGCTTGGCCGAAAGTGATAAACTGTCGAATTTGGTTTTCTCCGATGAGAAAACATTTGTTGCCCAGCAGTTTGTAAACGAACAAAATGATCGTATTCACTTGCCAAAGAGGTCAGCTGAAAATGTTCACCTTCGGTCGCTCTCCGCTCGTATTTATCGACAGGGGTATCAGAATAAATGCCGAATATTATCGCGAAAAAAATCTGTAGCGTTTATTAAATCCTTGAGCACGCAAACATTTTGGCCGCAGACCTTGGACATTCCAATAGGGCTCATCACCATCCCACTCAGCACGCGCCACCCAAGAATGGTTACAAAATGAGGTTACTTGCCTCATTTCCAGTGCACAATGGCCACCAAAATCTGCGGATACCAATTCGTTGGTGTCTGGAGTATTTTGGAAAGCAAGGTTGGCACTAAAAAATACCAAAGTGTCGATCACCTCAAGCAAGCGCTTCGCCGGGAATGGGCCAAAATACCGCAGAGCAACATTCGGGCAGCGTGTGACGGTTTCATTGACCGTTTGAAGGCTATAATTCGTGCAAAAGGTGACCAATTCGAACAAATCTAAACTTATTCTAAAATGTGATGCTATTTCAGATCTTCATTATCTTCCAGGGGGTAAAGTACTCAAAAGGAACTCTTTGCCTTTATTTTCAGACAATTTTATTAAAAAAATATGGCTAAGATATATCGGGGGGTACCGTTGTATGGGTGCTATACGACATCGTGGAACTGTGTAAACAATTCTCTTCTGGGGAGTAAAGTAGTCACGAAGAACTTCTTGTGTAGAATTGCAGACTATTCGATTGAAAAATGTGGCTAAAATCATCAAAATACTGAATATGGGGAGGTTCCGTTATATGGGGGCTAAACGATATAGTGAACCGATATAGCCTATCTTCGAACTTGACCTGCCTGCAGACAAAAGACTGATCTGTGCAAAAATTTAGCCTCCTATGTTTATTCGTTTTGACTCTAGCGTGATTACAACAGACGGACGGACAGGGCAAAATTAGCTTTGAATTTTACGCTGTTCCAAAAATTATTATTTCGAAAAAATGCTAAAACTTATTTTGTTTTTACCTTACAAATAAATGCGATGTTTTTCCCAGCGATGCTGTGCAATGTATGCCCATTGTGGTTAAGGTTGCCGATCCATTGCCCGGACTTGTGCGAATCAAACACTTGTTGTGGGTGCGAGTTAATCTAATTGAAAATGAAAGCAAATTTTGAACGAAATATATATCAACTTGTCCCTGTAATACTTACTTGACTAAGCCATCAGCAGCTTGGGTAATACGAAAACCATTTATGTCATACGTTTCGGTTCCATCGTCGGTACAACTATAGGTTGCATTTTGTATGACCTCATTGGCTGCTTGGACATAGGATGGACCGTGGCGGGAATTGCTGTAAGAATTGTAATTCTATTTTAAAAATTATTAAATTAAAAAAAAAAATAAATGAATGTTTTTTAATAGTCTCAGAACTTAAATAAAATAATTTCAATTTTATGTTAAGGCGTCTTCCAACTTTTTCTTAAGAAAACTAACAAATATTACCACAAACTTACTCATAGAACACGGTCAGAGTGTAGTCCTTGGTTAGATCGGTGAATGTGTCGGTGGTGGTGCGCGTTCCCGCCGTATCAACCAAATAAATTAAGGCACACGTTTCGCTGGTAAAACTTACACCCTTGTACCACATTTTGGCATAGCGTCTGAAAAAAAGAGGAATACAAAACAGACTCTTCCAATTTCCAGTTTTCAATTCCAACTTACACATAGTTATTCGTTTTCATGCCATCATAGGTCACCAGTTCGACTTTTGTGCCACTTTGTAGGACACGTCCATTGGGATGGATGAGGGCGGAGCTATTACAATTGCTGGACAAACCAATGGCTACCATGCTGCGTTGATTCAACACACGTACAGCCTTGTCCAAGGTCATGTCAATACTAGCAATGGGTACCGTTTAAATATTCCATTAAAATGTAACTCATTACCTTAATACTTACCGTACACCATCCCGTAAACGTAGTTGAATAGTACCATTTGTCATGGCAATGGGACCAGCACCGGTACAGGATGCCAGAGGTGGTGGTGGTGTTGTTGGATGCTCATATTCGCTAGCCCTATGTTGATTGCTGGTTAGGCGTGCCAAAACAAATGGCGGTGGTGGCATTGGCTGGGGTAATTGCTGGGCATGATGTTGGGGGGACATGCTAGGAGGCTGAAGGCGAACTATCAGACTAAAATTACTCAAATTTTTTACAAATGAGTTTACTTACCATGCGATAAGCTTCACTTTCACACTCATAGATGGGTGATGGATGGCCCACAAAGGGGTAGCGGTTATTATAGGCATAGCTACCACCACCACTGCGTGTTATATTCGAACGACTGCTAATTGGCGAATCATAACCAGCCGACACAACTCCGCCTCCGCCATTGTAATAAGGATGGGGTGACATTGACATGGGCAATTGCCTTACCGCCACATGACCCGTGGGAGTAGATGTGTCTTTGGGACCCATATCAAAGGACGATACCACGGCTGTAGAATCAATATGGCGTTGTTGTTGCGAAACAAATGGAGCGGCACTGGCATTAAACTGGGACTGGAAAATAGGTATATTTTTCAATAATCAAAATTAAAATCAAGCTCCTGAGTCTCACCGTTGTTGTGGTTGTAAACACCGATCGTTGGCGCACGCCACTGGGAGTCTTGCTGGGCGATCTCAAGATATTATTGATCTTTGAATTGATGTTAATGCGTGCCAGAAACTCGTCCGTATTAAAACCACCATTAACAACAATGGGTGTGGAATGCGTCAAGGGTTTCGAAGAGCCCTCATCTTCAGTATGGGATTTTTCTTCCACATCAGAGGCATTTTTTTCCAACAGAGTTTCACCACTTTCACCTTCCATTTTCGTTAGGGTGGACCGCGTTTGGGTTATTTTTCACAAAAAAAAAATACAAGAGGTTGGATGGTCTGAATGGACTTTGGCTATTGCGAAATGGGAAAGGGGAGAGGAAATTTAAAACATCTGTTCGCTTTAGATAAAATATTGAAACTATTTTTTTGGGCATGAAAATTTTTGAAATGTGTTTTCAAAGCCTGCTAGAGTTGATATTTTTTTTTAAATATTTCTCATTTGTGCAGAGTGAATGAAATGTCTTTTAAATTAGGATTATTAAAAAAAAAACTGGACAGGCGCCAAGTATTGACTTGGTTTGAGTACTTACAAGCAGAAAAATTACCGGTTTCCAAGAACTTAATTCATGGGGAATGGGACAAACTGATAAAAAGTGAAAGCCGTATGGCCAACAACAAATTATAAATACTAGCATGCCCAGTGCAAAGCCCGGCCTTAAAACTCCGTGTCTAACAACTTAGAACTTAGAGAATGCAGAATCATTCCATATTTAGTCGTTTCAATTCGAAATTTAGTTTTTAATTTGATCACCCTAAAATTCGAATAGAATGCAAGAATTTGGCACAAAGGGATTTTCAACTAAACATCAAATCAGGAAATATTTCTAAAAAGGCTATTAAAAATAACTATGGGTCTCAGCCATATGACTAGAGGGGGAATATATCATTCGATACGGCCAAACCGAAATAACGATTTCGGACCCTAGGTCTCTTTGGACCAAATCCTTTTCGGGACATTTGGAGTCGATCTAGCAATGTCCGTCCGTCTTTCTGGCGGGCTGCTGCGCACGATAATCGGATTTGGTCCAAACTTGGTACATCTTAATATTATTATCAAACTTATATCAAGTTTGGAGATGGACAATATCGGTCCTCTCCTTCTGGTACCTCCGACAAAAAAGGTAGAAACTATCAAAAAAAAAAAAAAAAAATACTGCACAGAAAGAAAAATCATAATTCGATTTTGCTCCAACTTTGTAAAACCTAATATTTGCATCAGTGCTAGGTCAGGTGCGAAAATTTTCCGACATTATCGGTTCACTCCATCAAGTACCTCCCCCACAAAGGGTCAAAATTGTGAATAATTATAACTCTTATCAAATGTGACGTCAGTGTCCGATTGTCTTCAAATTACACACATCATAATATTTTCATTAACCCATGGTCTGATGCGAAGATGGAATATATCGATCAACTCCTTCTGGTACCTCCCCCCACAAAGGTTCAAAATTTTGAATATCCACGAAGCTCATAAAACACGAAATTAACATCCGATTCCATTCAGACTTGGCACATCTCTATACTTCCATCAACACAAGATCTGTTATAAAGATGATAGAGATCGGACCATTCCTTCTGATACCTCCCACACAAAGGATAAAAGTTTTAAATAACCAAAACGATCATAAAATAGGAAATAAGCATCCGCTTCTCTTCAAATTACACACATCACAATATTTTCATTAACCTCAGATTTTGTGCGAAGATGAAATATATCGGTGCACTCCTTCTGGAACCTCCCCCACAAAGGGTCAAAATTTTGAATATCCACGAAGCTCATAAAACATGAAATTAACAGCCAATTCCATTCAGACTTGGCACATCTAAATATTTCCATAAACGCAAGATCTGTTAAAAAGATTGTAGAGATCGGACCATACCTTCTGCTACCTCCCCAATAAAGGGTCAAAGTTTTGAATAACCAAAATGATCACAATATTTTCATTAACCCAGCTTAGACTTATCACGAAGTAATTTTCGTTTGTGCTTCACTTAATAGACACAGTCACTGCAAAATGTCCTCTTCTATCAGCTTTGATTATTCGTTATACTTACTCGATGATTTTTTCTCATCTGCAATAAATTTCTAGCCCCATATATCTGATAATATAACATTTTATTAATCCAATTCAATTATTTTATAAATTCATAAATAAATATATATTTTTTTCTTGTTGTTTAACGGATAACCGATTTAAGATCTAAAACTTATGATTCGAGTTTTCGCTTTTACAAGTTAATATAAAACCCGAAACGGATACATGTTCTAAATATCGGTTGAAAGCCTGAATGCCCATCTTGAAGACAAACATCCTTACAAAGAAACCACAAAAAAAAATTGTTTTAAAAAAAGGACACAAAAAGAAAAGTAAAATAAATTTGAATTTAATAAGTGAACTTGCTTACAATCTAACAAAATTAAAATAACATACATAAAAGTAGATGATCATGCTGTTGATTGCATGGTTAAAGCTGCAAATTATTTGCGCGCAACACAAAAAAGTTATTATCATTTACACAGAACAAGTATTTTATTGCCGAAAAGAAAACTAAACGCACTAGGCAAAAGGAGAAATGTTTTCAAAAAACACAGTCTCATAAAATTTCCTCCTTTTGGAAAAATCTATGGCAAGTGTAAATTTTCGTTTATTGAGTACCACAATTGAGACGCTGTAAATTAGACACATCTTCATCATCATCGTCGTCAGAGTCATCGTTATCGGTATGTAATTCAACCGAAGATGAGGGGGAGTCGTCGCTATCATCTTCGTCATCATTGTTGCGTTCACGATTTCGTCGTCTGTGACGGCAGAGGGTCTGTCTGATGAAATATTGCAATTGATTGTAATCAAATTGAATAGCTTCGTCAATAACAGTGCGTCGAAGATTGCGGCGCACACAACTGGTAAGTTTAGTTAGATCAGGAGGATACTGGAAGAGAAGAAACAAATGACAAAATGAATATGATAAATTCTTTTCCAACAAATGCTAGGGGTGGCTACCTTTTCGGCACTTGGGGTCCATATTTTAATGTGATGATCCAGGCCAGAAGTAGCAAGTATGGGTGTGGTAGGATGCGGCTCAAGGCAATTCACCTGTTAAAAATAGAAAATCGATTTAAAATAATAAACATGATTTAACAAATAGAAAAGCAGATAAAGCAGGTTATATTCTACGAATCTTTCTCTTCCGATCTGGGTCAAAAGGAAAATTGCTTATGCTCTACTGATGCCTCATATTTATTATGGCTTGGAGGTTATGTCTGGCACAATAGAACTTGTGTCCTTGAAGTTAAAACGTGTGGTTAATTCCATCACCCGCTTTGTCTTTGGAGTTAGACTTGGACAGCATATATCTGACTATGTGGATATTTTCTTGGGAATTAACTTTGAACGGTTTGTTAATTGTAGGGTGTTATGCTCTTTTTATAAAATTGTGCAAACAGGTGTACCTGCTTTATTAAAGAATATGTTTAGATTTGCTATGTCCTCGAGAAATACTCAGATATTTATACCTAGAATATACAATTCTACTTTTGAGAGATCTTTTGTAATACGAGTTGCCCGTTTATGGAATTATTTGCCTACCGAACAGAGAATATTTTCACCGTCTAATAATGCTTTCCGCTTAAAACTAATAGGCCACCTTCGTAATTCTGATCTTCATATTATCTAATGTATATTATTAGTTTGTTGAAAACAGTACATGTTTTTAGTACTTTTACTTTTGAGATATGTATGTACACATATTTAAGGCTTGTTGCTTTTGTTGCTATCACGTCCTTTATTTATTATTAATATTAATCTCTTTTTTTAATTTTTGTGTAGTTATGGCTGGGGAGCCAAATATATTGACTTAGTTATAATTAGTTTTAAGTTATTATTTTCTACTTGGAGCATAATTACGTTATTAATACTATTCATTGGCCTTGGAGGCTTTAGTATTATGGTATGAAATGAATAAATAAATAAGTTCGGCCGGGCCGGATCCTCCACCATTTGAAAGGAACTTGAAAAATTAAAAAAAAAAATCGAAAACTACCACTTAAACGAAAACCATCACATTGGGCCTATACAAAGACGTGGACCTGCATACGATTTTTTTGCCATAGGATCCCATTAGAATCTTCCGAAATACGAAATTTGAAATAATTCCGGCAAATAATGTCGATAAAATCATTAAAATGCCGAATATGGGAAGGATCCGTTATATGGGGGCTATACGAAAACGTGGACCGACATGACCCATTAACGAACTTAACCTGCCTATTGGTAAACTATGCATGTATGCATTAGCCTTCTATCTCAATTCTTTCGAAAGATAGCGTGATTACAACAGACAGACAGACGGACATCGCTTAGAATTTTAGGCTGATCCAGAATATATATACTTTGTATTATGAATATTTCGAGGAGTTACAAACGGAATGACAAAGTTAATATATCCTCCATAGAATGGTGGAGGGTATAAAAACATTAACCGAATTCCTAAGCAACATTTTGCGTTTTAAATTTTGTTTGATATGAAACGAGTAATTTTTTTATCTGTCTTACAAATATCGAACAGATTTATATGACTACTTACCACACCAGCAGTATCACCAGGCATAAAATTAAGAATTGCCTCGGTGTTTTTATCCCAGTAGAAAATATTTCCACAATCACTGCCGCTGATGACATACTCACAATTGGGGCCAAAAAAGTTGACACCTTTTATGGTCTTTTGGTTGCTGTAGAAAAATAAAACAATGCAAACAATCAATTTTTAAGAAAACATAACATTCGCAACTTACTAATGACCCTTGTAGCAATGCAGATATTCTCCATCCACATAATTTTTGTTATCAAACAAATAAATGTTTTCCTCGCTGTAGGAGGCCAAAATTTCCGTGCCAGTATTATTGTAAACACAACAGGTAACACTGGGGGTACAGGCCTAAGGAGACCCAACAAAATAAAAATAAGCATTGCATTTAATCAAATAAAATATCACTATATTGCAAGGAGACATAATTTAGTAAATACCATTTACCAACTCACTTCAAGTATATGTTCGGGACACATTGTGCGTACGGGATCCTTCATTGATCTCTTGTCGTAGACACGCACATAACAATCACTGCCACTGACACAGATTTCCGGTGCAAACGGATGATGGGAAATACTAAACAGGCGCACCTTCCTCGATTTCTTTACGTGTGACATGACCTGCAGCAAATCAATTTTATGATACTCCTCTCGTAAATCTTTGCTGCAAATGAAACCATCTTCGCCCACACTTATAATTTCCGAAGGGTTATCGGGACATATTACTAGCTTATGGACCGGCCCACGATGGATATATAGATTGGACGTTTGTACTTTTCCCCCCGAAGATGGAACAATTGAACGCCTCACACGACCATCACGGGCTGCTGATATTATATCAATAAATGGAGAGGTTGGCACAAATTTCGATTGGAATATATTGGAACTATGACCAGATTTCCATATATGTTTAACCTTATTGCCAGCCCAATCCCAGACGATCAGTCGAGCATCATCTGAACCGGTCACCAGGAGGTCTCCACTCTTATTAAAATTTAAACAGTTGACGCAGCCATTATGTTTCCTTAAAACATGAGATAGCTTCATACGTTCCACAACGTGACGAGAAGCATAGAAACGATTATTGAAACCATATGTAAAGCCGTTACGTAGTGAAGTTCTGCCATCACCACTCAGTCCATGTTCTCGACGCATTAGCTCGTAGGCAGCACTCCAAGTATAAGCCGGTTTCTGTTTATTCAACAATTTATTAACCTCTTCATCTTTCTCCTTTATACGCACCGAGTCGGCTGAATCGGGTGAAACATAATCTGAACTATTTCTGCCCCTTAAAATAGGTCCCAAAAAGTCAGTGACGCTGTCATCGTCGTCATCGTCATCCTCCTCATCGGGGAAGTCTGGACTTGGGAGGGCAAAGGATTCCTAGAGCAATGAAAGGACATGTAAATATCAGATTAAATAATTATTTTAAGACATCAAAATGTGTTATAATCGAGTTGTAGAAAAAGTATTTCAAATGACGATGTTTATGCCTGTTTCTCTATGACCATAGGAAAATTAACTCGAGAAAAACCCCAGCAATTCAAAAAATTAAAAATAAAATGCAAAAAAGGCGTCAAGAATGTGTTTTTTTTTCGTTCGACTTCACTAACGCATCGTGATACAAAGCAGGCTATTAGTTTCTTTAATTTTAATATTGTGGTTCCTTTAGCTTCACACTAGCTGACTTTAAATTACTCTCCGTCAAAGAACGTAATGTTTTCAACTGGTTTAATTAAAGATTACATACTGGCGATGGAATGGCTACTCAACTTCAGATATTTTTCATGTGAACATTTTTGTGAAAGCATGGTATTTAGTATATGTGGTATATAATGGAGATTAAAATATAAACACGAGCCAGCTAATTAACAAAATCAAAAGAGAAAATTGTTTTATCCTTCAATAGTTTATATTACCTCGGATTGTTCACTCGATGCTGGGGAAGAAGTTCGCTCGACCATTTGGACGTCTGGATCATTATTTTCATTTGATTCGGCTGCCGGTTGGACAATATGAAATGATATTTGAGAAGAGGAGGAAGACGACGACGACGATGAAGTTGATGCGGAACGTTCAGATGTACGATTATTACGAGATCTATTGCGTTTGGAACGTATTACAATTTTTGAGGAAGTGCATGGCTTTTCTACATCGGCAGTAGTACTTTCGCCATTATCCGCCAAGCTCTCCATACTTTCCTCTTGAGCAATACTATTAGCGGCATCCACTGGATTTAAGGCCTCCTGCAAAGATAGCTTTATCAATATCTCATAATTTTGGATAATATTTATCTTTTTTTGCTGGAATTACATATTTCGAAATATATTTCGGAACAACCAAATTTCAACTCTGATTAAAAGGATGTTATCGTTTTAAACACGTGATTATGATCTTTCTTATAATTGGCGACAAGTGAGAAGACCAATTAGTGCGAAACCAACAACATCCTTATATATATTTTCTATCCTTTCTTGACGATTATGTTCTTTCTAGCACATGCCATTCTTCTTACCTCTGAGTTGATGTCATGAGCTGGTGGAACTTCTATTGCCATTTTAGATCCTACATCGTTGTTTTCATTACGCTTTCGCTCACCCTCATCTTCTGATGACGTTGAACGATCTGTTTTACGATAATTACGAGACCGATTTCGTTTCGAGCGTTTAATAAGATGTGACGACGAGCAAGGGGTTTCTCCATCAGATTCAGCAGCAGCAGCACAGGCAGCAGTTAAACTTTCCATACTTTCCTCCTGTAAAATATTATCACCACTCGCAGCCTTCGGTGAGCTATTTAAGTCCTCTTCGTCGTCAGCTTTGGAATCAATTGTCATCATCATAGAATCCGCATCACCAAATGATGATTCTTCCATTTTAGAACTGAGACCACTATCACTATTGTTGTTATTATTAGAGACGCTGCTGTTGTTGCTGCATGCACTCACATTCGTTTCTTGGTTATCATATGGGCTGCAAGCGAAAAAAAAAACAACAAACACAAATGAGAAGAACAAGAAAAATAATGAAATGAAATCAATAAGACGAGTTATGCCAACTATTCCAAAATATACCTATGCTGACCACTACTGCAACTCGATGAGGTCAGGTCCTTATCGCCCTTCTTTAGTTCCTCATTTGATCGACTGCGTTTACGTCCTATTGCATTTGGGGTCTCGACTTTTTCATCCATTCCTTTTGATGATGTTGGGAAAATTATTCTCTTCTTGAAACGTCACTGCAGGAAATATTTTTTGCTTTTTACTTTGGAAATGCCAATTTTCTTTTTAGTAATCGGGACACAAAATGTCCTTTTCAACGGGTTAAAAACAAATCTTGGATTATCACATAAAGTAAACCGAATTTGTTTTGTTGCTACGACGTTTTTTTTATTTAATTAATTAATAAAATAGCAGCTTCTGATGGTGTTGAACTCTCAGATGCCGCAGTCGGTGCTCAGTGAAGTTTAACGGCGATCAGCTCAATGCCGGCGTTTCGAGAAATAGTGATTTTTGTAACGGTTATTTTGAATGGAAGAGATTTAATCTTAAAGACGGTTTACACACAAGTCTTTATTCGGGTTAAAGCTGATAAATGACCAACAACAATGAATTCGACGGTGAAAAACCTACTTCAAATTAATTGTGAGTGGTGAATTATCGCGCTTAATACTTTCAAACATTTTGTATGTAAATGCGTTGTAACTGTGAGAATACATAAAACGCTTTTTGACTGGCTTAAGTCATCGACTGCCTTCTTCGTAGATTAACAAAGAAGTTTAGGTTGACTTAGTTCGATTTTGGCCTAGGATCCTTTGTTCATTTCCGAAGAAGCCAGCGGATAAGCGCTTTATGTATTCCCACCTTAAACCAGTCAAAAAAGCGTTTTATATATTCTCACCATAACCCTGACTTGAATAATCACAATAAACTTGTCAATGGTAAACTTTATATAGGCAGAGCATTTGAATGTATAAAAAATCTCTAGCCGGTCAAAATGCCAACCACAATTAAATGGACAGTAGAAAACATGTTTTACATTTATTGTAATTTGCCAATTATGAGGATTAAAGCTCTATCACAAGAAATGTGTTTTGCATATGTAAAATTTTCCATATGTAGAAGTTGCATATATCATATGAAACATGGAAGACTTTTCATTTTTGAAACGCACAAGCGCTTTTTCGATCACAGCGAGCCCTATTTTCATCGGAAAAGTCGGACTAAAGTAATTTTTATAGAATACAATATTATCATGGTAGAATTAGGAAGGTAAAATCATGCAATTATATTTTTACATTTGTTTTTTCAAAATTATTAATTTGACAACATCTCATTGCCAAAATGTATATTTATGAATTCCTTGAGCATCTACAAATAAGAGATGGGAACCTGTCTTCTATGCAGCAAAATTTGACAAGGTAAATCACATAAAATTCAGAGATGGGTATTTGAAATTACTTTTACCATGAAAAAAATAAAAAAGAAAACATAATCAAGTGTGTGATAGCAAACATTTTGAGTCATATGTAAAATTTTGACATGCAGACGGAAATACGCATGGATAATAAAAGTGACAGCACATAAGAAAAACACCTCCTCCCTGATAACGACTTTAACCCGAGTTAACATTTTGTATGTAAACGCACTGTAACAAATTCAGGTAGATGCGTCAACGCTTGGGAACATTGATATGTCAAAAAAATTTAAATGTCTTTTCAAATATAAGTATTTTTCTTTCTTATACGGCGTCATTCGGAGGTTATTATAATACGGGTTATTTAAAACTTTTTACAAATGTAAATAATTTTTCATTCACTATTTTCAATTCCAAAATTGGTTTGACAGTTCATTGTCCCAACAGCTGTGTCGATGCGTCTACCTACACTGGTGGCCAAAACTAAAGCAACTTAAATCGCAAAGACAATAAATGTCCTGTAACTTTTACAAAAATAAACAAATCGTAATTATTTTTCCAGTTTTAGATGAGGGGTTTCATTCACTTTCAAGAAACAAAAAATAAAAATACAAAAATAATTTTGAACGAAAAATAATATGTGGAAAACTGAAATGACCCAATTTTTGCTTGGTCAAAACTAAAGCAACTTTTGATTTTTTTATTTTAAAATAATTAAATTTTGGCTAGTAGTCGATAGCATAACCATTATTTTTGATAGCAGCTGCACACCTACGAGGCATTGAATCTATAACACGCTCAATTTGATCCTTGGGTGTGCTTTCCCAGGCACCCCGAATTCTTTAGAAAATGTTGTGCTTATTTATTTCCGAATCTCTCTTGATCTTCCTATCTACGATACTCCAAAGGCTTTCTAAGGAGTTTAGGTCAGGTGATTGTGCCGGCCATAACAAAACATGAATTTTTGACTCCCGCAACCAATATTTGACAAGTTTTGATACAAGTTTGGGATCATTGTCATGCTGAAACACACAAATCAGCCCAATATTTTACTCAGCGTAAGGGAACAACGTGATGTCCAACACATCTTTGTAAACAAACGGATCCACAACTTCCTTTATTTTATGGATAGACCCAAGTCCATAGAAAGAAAAATAGCGCCACGCCATTTTTGACCCTCCCCCATGCTTCACTGTACCTTTGCAACACTGCGGCTTGAGTCCTTCATTTTTTTGGTCTTCTCACCGTAAATTTTTTTACATCTGAGCCTTTAATATTAAACGTAGACTCATCCCAGAAATAATGTTTTTTTTTCCATTGAGCTTGATTCCACTTAATATTATCGTTTCCGAAAGCCTTTTTGATTTTTTCAGATAAAAATGATTTTTTGATGTCTTACGGGCATGCAGACCAGCTGCCACTACTCGTCTACGCACTGATCTCGAGCTTATATCCAATGATTGCTCTCTCACCAATCCAGTTGAACTCTTAAATAGTTGTTTTTTATTTCTCTCTCAATTTGTGGATAAGTACGGGCTGAAGTTCTTCACGGCCTTCATCCGTTATAGACTGTTACTACTGATCCAGTTTCAAAAAACCGACTTAGTATACAGAAATAATTATGAAATCACATAAATATTTATGAAATATTTCTCGGAAATCATTTTCTGTGATATGTTGTTTTGATAGTCACTGATAATTTGCTTTTTTAATCAGGTACTGTATTTGCTTCTAGCCATTTTTAATTTTTTTTGGGCAGTACTTAAAAAACGAAAAGAAAAACACATACTGTTGTAAAAAACTTCTCAAAAAGGATTTATGACAAGCGAAATTGTCGAAGGAAGCAAAGAACGATAAATATCACAGTAAAAACAACTGAAATTGCAGCGGTTATATGAATGTACAACAGAGTTGCTTTTGTTTTGTCCAAGCCAAAATCGGGTTAATTGACTTTACCAAACATTATTTTTTATATAAAAATGAATTTTGGTTTTATGTTTTAGATTTTTAAAAAGTGAATAAAATACCTAATTTAAAACAAGAAAAACTTTCTCATTTTCTTAATTTTTGAAAAAGTTACAGGGCATTCATTCTCCTTGTAATTTCAGTTGCTTTAGTTTTGGCCACCAGTGTATATTCTTCTACCATGAATACAGGTAGTCCCATCGACACAGCAGCTTGGATAATGAAATTTGACAAATTACAGAAAATTAAGAAATTGATATGACTATTTGAAAACCAATTATCAAATATTGAAATAAATTTTGAAAAAGAAAAACATATGATTATTTCCGTTTACTTTCTTAGTGTGGGAATACATAAAGCGCTTATTTGGGTGGCTTAAGTATAAGAAAACATATAAAAATCTACTTATATTTGAAAAAAAAAACATTTAAATTTTTTGAAATATCAATGCTCCCAATCGTTGATGCATCTACCTGTATTCTTCTGTCATGATTAAAATTTTCCATTATTTTATTTCTTCGCTATTTTACAAAAAGTGTCAAATGATTTAATCCACACTTTTCAATAAACTTTATTGTGATTAATTCAAAAAACAAATATCATGTATATTTCCTTGTAGTTCCACTGTATTATGATTACATTTCAGAAAACGGATGCTGTGTTTACGATATTCATTCAAAAGAATGTCCATCGTTTCTCATACTTGGTGTCACATTGGCGGAACGTTCATTTAATTCTCATTTTGATAACATTTGCGATTTCTTCGACCATGACTCACACTTTCAATGCAAACAAAGATATGTAACGGCTTTTGTTTCGAATTGATCTGTTTTTCCACTACTCCTCTACACCCCTTCCTCCCCACAAATCATTACCCCCATTATGGTTTGTTTGTGTGTGAGCTATGCCCTACTGGCCCATCCCTTTGTTTATAATTCCACAGTCACTTCAATCCAAAGTAATTACCCCCACCGAAACAAATCAAAAGACAACAATTCTTATTGACCACAAGGCAGCACAGCCAGCTAGCTTTGAACTGCCACCACAATAAACCCGTTGTATCGGTAGGTAAGCTTACCACCACCGTTCGGCCAGTCATCGAGCGAGACATTTGTTCAGTCAAGCAAAACCAAAAGTCAAGATGTCTGCAACAACAAAACTTGTCTTACCAATTACCAATGTATGTAGGTAAGAAAACCCCAGACAACCTGATGGACAACCACAACAACAACAACGAGAACAAAAAGCACAATTGTCTCTCATTGTGCAGAATGGAGTATACCAAACCATTCAGGCGGAGAATATTAAGCCTCTGTTCAAGACGATCATAAAAACAGACGTTGTTTACTCTCTGAACTGTTGGATACTCTCGTCATGCCATGGGTTTTAGTGTAATGAACATAAAAAAACTGAAACCCAACCATTGAAGTGGTTTTTTGCTTTGGACAACATTGTCAAATACACTCGAGGAAATTTACAGCGTTACAGTAGACCGCTCGTATAAGTATATTCTGTAAAAAAAGTTTTTGTTTTTGATTGTTTTGTCTTTTTTAAACCCAGAGTAATTTAACAAAATATAATTTTGTAGTAAACGGAATAAAACGGAAACATTGGGCGCCAGATGAAGAGGATCTACTACAAGTTCAATACTTGGTCTGTTCCAGAACTACAAGAATTTAAAAGTTTTTACTACGATTACCGATATTCCCTATATGATATCGAAGAAAATTGCAAAAACAGTAGATTCTTGCAGGTTCTAGACAAATGTATAGGGTGAGATGAAAGACCAACTTCAGACTGCTATCATTTCTAAGCCACTCGTCCGACAGCTGTTAAAATTTTTCCAGAGACAGTTCATTATATTGTTTACAAGCGTACAAAAACATTTTGGTGAGAATTTTCCAGAACAAAAAGTTATTCGTGATGGAATTCAAGCGTGATATTGTGATTTCTTTATATTTGGCTGGAAACCACAAGTGGCTATCGTTAGAGCACTCAAGCATTTAAATGTGAATAAATTTTTTGTGTATCGTACCATCGCTCGTTACCGATTACGTGATACTGGGAGCGTAGCCCGACTTCAAGGAAGTAGACAGAAGAAAACAGTAACATCATCAGAAATGATTCGAAAAGTAAAGCGACTTGATCGAAAACCGCGTCGCAGTGGCCGAAGAAGGGCTCGTGAAAAATGAGCTTGGGGTAAAGCCACTGAAATTCCAAAAAGTGCAAGAACTTACACCGCAACAGAAAGAAAATAGACTCAAAAGAGCTAAAGATTTTCTTCGCTTGGCCGAAAGTGGTGAACTGCCGAATTTGGTTTTCTCCGTCTCCGATGAGAAAATATTCGTTGTTCAGCAGTTCGTAAACAAACAAAATGATCTTGTTATTTGCCAAAGAGGTCAGCTGAAAGTGTACACATTTGGTTGGCCACCAGAACTCATGCGCCGGCCATGGTGATGGTGTGGGCCGCCATAACAGCCGGTGGTCGCTCTCCGCTCGTATTAATCGACCGTGGCATCAGAATAAATGCCGAATATTGCCGCGAAAATATCCTGGAGGTTGTATTTTGGCCGCAGACCTTGGACATTCCAACAGTACTCAGTACCATCGCACTCAGCACGCGCCACCCAAGAATGGTTACAAGATGAGGTTCCTAGCTTCATTTCCAGCGCACAATGGCCACCAAAAACTCCGGATATCAATCCTTTGGACTATTGTGTCTGGAGTATTTTGAAAAGCAAGGTTGGCACTAAAAAATACCAAAAGTGTCGATCACCTCAAGCAAGCGCTTCGCCGGGAATGGGCCAAAATACCGCAGAGCAACATTCGGGCAGCGTGTGATGGTTTCATTGGCAGTGTGAAGGTCATAATTCGTGCCAAAGGTGAGCAATTCGAACATATCTAATCGTATTCTAAAATTTGATGCTATTTCCGATATTTTTTTGCATTCATTCAATAAATTACAAAAAAAAAAAAAAAAAATTAAAAATTGTGGCGTTCGACTTTGTTGCATTTTTTTTTATCTCGCCCTGTATATCCTTAGCCAATGTTGTTTTATTTTAATATATTTTGACTTCGTTTATGATCATCCAAAGTTTTGACCCTCTATTGGGTGGGTTCCGAAGGAATGGGCCAATATTTTCCATTTCGGGGGAGGTACCAGAAGGAGTACGCCGAAATATTCGATCTTAACAACAGACCTTGAGTTAATAAAAATATTGCTATCTGTTAAATTACTCTCCAAATTTTAAAAGGAGAATCTTACATTACATTCTATATGAGTTATAATTATTCAAAATTTTGACCCTTTGTTGGGCAGGTGCTTGATGGAGTTGTCTAATATTGTCCGCGCCTGACCTAGCACTGATGCAAATATCGAATCGAATCATACTTTCTCTTTCTGTGCAGTAAAACATTTTTTTTTAAATTTCTACCTTTAGTGGGGAAGGTACCAGAAGGAGTAGACCGATATTGTCCACCTCCGAACTCGATCTAGGTTTGATAATAATATTACGATGCACCAAGTTTGGATTAAATCGAATATTCCCTTCGACAGTTATCGTGCTCATCCGCCAGACAGACGGACGGACGGACATCGCTGGATCCACTCCAAATGTCCTGAAACGGATTTGGCCCAAAGAGACCTAGGGCCTAGGGTTTAAAACCATTATTTCGATCAGGCATGTTTTGGCCATATCAGCCATATGGCTGAGAGTATAAAAATGGATTGTTTGCACAAAAATGAATGTAAATCGAATGCTTCAAAATAAGAGGAGTTGCAAGTGAAAGCAGAATAAAAATTTTCCGGTAGGCATTCGTAAACTCTAAAATCCCGAGCATATCATTTATTTGAACTAAGATTTTTCTTTGGGCGTTCAACAACAACGGCCAAATGCCTGCTGGATGAATGGCTTAAACTCACAAGTTTAGTTTATGGTTGAAGACCGCCGGTGACACTTGGTTGAAGCGCCAACGAAAAAGACATCTTCGACAAATAAAACAACAACAACAACGACAAGAAAAAATAATTTACTTTTTAATGATTGCCACATAAATTATAAGCTGGTTCATCAACAACAACATCAGCAGCGGTAGCAATAATATTATAAGGGCGCTTCTGGCCGAGTGTATGAGTGTGCGATCGTTGTGATTTTTAGTCATTTGTCGTGTGTGTGTGTGAGTGCGAAACCCCAAATCTACCTCAAAAGTAAGTTTTGACTGGTGAAGAAATTTGAAAAGTTTTTGAAAAATTAGATCATTCATGCGCATGCGCAAACCACTTCCGCTATGGAAGAAATTCGCGATAACAAAGAAGAAGAAGGGGGAAACAAAAACAGAAATGTGTAGGTTACGACGTTTTGCGTGAGTTCCTCTTTGAAACGGAAAGTTTGGCTCTTCAGATATTGACTTTGTTTGCCATTTTTCAAATTTGCAACGAATACGCTACCGAACCAATGCGCGAATGTGTGATCCATTAATTAAACAAAAAAATTGAAAAAAATAAACATTGTTTATGAACTGAATATATTCCGGTTTTATTAATGCAAAGTTGCCTGCCTGCTCAGCTTGGTGTCTTGCAGCTTTTGTGTGAATTGTAGATTTTGTTTTCAATTCGTATCGAGTTGAGTCCGGAGCAGAGTGTGTGTGTTTGAATCTTGCAAGCCAAGTGAATTAAACTTGTTTTTCTTTACATTACCGCAACGCTGGAGATCGATTGGCGATATCAAAGAATATCATAGATGCAAGCATCCATCCACCAATTGATCTGTGCAATAAAAATATCAAAAGGCAATTAGAAAACGAGTGTAAACACAAGCGACAAGTGCTTAAGCAAGGTACCTACAAACATACATATGTATGCAGTTCCCCCCTCTTGTCAAACACAAAAGGGCCGCAGATGGTGTAACAAAAACTTTCGTTTTATACAATTTCAATACCCAGTTACATTTCTTAAACAAGGAGACAATTTTTAAAGTTATTCATCCACCACCGCATGAGGTGTGGTACCCAGCTATGCATTTCAATTAAGTCAGCTCGGCCTGCGTTTCAGTTGAAGTTATGTTTGGAAACAGTAAAACTAAAACGTCTTAAAAGTTCTCGACTTTCAATGGAACATTTCGTGGTCGGAATTTTTAATTGAATATTTTTTGTTCGTTAACTTTGTCATGATTTCGAACAATGTCGACTATTTTCGAAATAACACAAATGCCATAAAAGTGATAGTAATGCTGATGGAAAAAAAATAAAAGAAAATCACAAAAAATGCGTTCGTAATTATGTGCAGTTATATTGGAAAATAAGCAATGATATGCCGTTTTTTAATTTTACACTCTTGTGTGTGAATTCAGTAGCTTCGATTATCTTATCATACGGTTACATAGAGCATGTTAGCGTTATTATCGAAAAATTATTATAAATTTGAAAACAAAAATAAAAAGGTTTTATGTAAACACAGCCTTATCTTGAATGGACTATTATAGTAGGTTCACATTGTAGTGCGTAAAGTAGTCGCATCGACGCAGCTGCTGGGACAAAGAACTGTCAAATCTATTTTGGAATTTAAAATGTCGAATTAAAATTTATTGGCACTTGCAAAATTTTTTGAAAAATTCGTATCAAAACAACCTCCGATTTACGTCGTATACGATAACATATAACAATCTACTAATTTCGGACAAAACATTTTAAAAATTTTGACGTGCCATTTTTCACAAGCGTTAATGCATCTGCATACAGGTGTATTCTTCTACCATGGCATATACCAAGAATAAAGGTGGGAATACATAAAGCGCTTATCTGGCTAGCTTAAGTCATTGGCGGGCTTCTTCGGATATGAACAAAGGAGCCTAGGGCCAAAATTGAACTAAGTCAACCTAAAACTCCTTTGTTCATCTACGAAGAAGTCAGCCGATCACTTAAGCCCGCTAAATATGCGCTTTATATATTTCCACCCTAAATTCCCATTACAGAGCGTTTACATACACAGGGCGAGATAAAAAAAATTGCAACAAAGTCAAACGCCATAATTTTTACATTTTTTTTTTAAATTTTATTGAATGAACGTGAAAAAATGTCGGAAATAGCATCAATTTTTAGAATACGTTTAGGTTTGTTTGAATTGGCTACCTTTGGCACGAATTATGGCCTTCAAAAGGCCAATAAAACCGTCACATACTGTTCGAATGCTGCTCTGCGGTATTTTGGCCCATTCCCGGCGAAGCGCTTGCTTGATGTAATCAACACTTTGGTATTTTTTAGTGTCAACCTTGCTTTCTAAAATACTCCAGACACAATAGTCCAACGTAGTGGTATCCGGGGAGTTTGGTGGCCATTTTGTGCTGGAAATTAAGTGAGGAACCTCATTTTGTAACCATTCTTTGGTGGCGCGTGCTAAGTGCGATGGTGCTAAGTCCTGTTGGAATGTCCAAGGTCTGCAGCCAAAATGTTTGCGTGCCCAAGGCTTTAATACACCCTCCAGAATATTTTCGCGATAATATTCGGTATTTCGGATGCCACGGTCGATTAATAAGAGCGGAGAGCGATCATCGGCTGTTATGGCGCCCCACACCATCACCATGGTCGGCGCTTGAGTTCTGGTGGCCAATCGAAGATTCACATTTTTAGCTCTCTCTCTCTCTCTCCTCTTTGGCAAGTAAACACGATCATTTTGTTTGTTTACAAACTGCTGGACATCGAATGTTTTCTCCTCGGAGACGGAGAAACCCAAATTCGGCAGTTCACCACTTTCGGCCAAGCGAAGCAACTCTTTAGCTCTTTTGAGTTTATTTTCTTTCAGTTGCGGTGTAAGTTCTTGAACTTTTTGGGATTTCTGTGGCTTTACCCCGTGCTTATTTGTCAATATTTGCCGAATGGAATATTGCGATATGTTCACTGCGATGTGGGTTTCGATCAAGTCGCTTCTTTACTTTTCGAAGCATTTCTGCTGATGTTGCTGTTTTCTTCCGTCCACTTCCTTGACGTCAGGCTACACTACCAGTATCACGGTAACGAGCAATGGTACGAAACACAAAATATTTATTCATATTTAAATGCAGGAGTGCTCTAACGATAGCCACTTGTGGTTTTCCAGCCAAATATAAAGAAATCACACTATCACGCTTGAATTCCAATGCGAACAACTTTTTTTCTGGAAAATTCTCACCAAAATGCTTTTGTACACTTGTAAACAATATAATGAGCTGTCACTGGAATAATTTTAGCAGCTGTCGGACGAGTGGCTTAGAATTGACAGTAGTCTGAAGTTGGTTGCATTTTTGTATCTCACCCTGTGTATAAAACGCTCTTTTTGACCGGCTGGCTGGCTTCACCAGCCCCATGGTAGAAGAATATAGGTAGACGCGTTGACACAGCTGCTGGGACAATGAACTGTCAAACCAATTTTGGAATTGAAAGTGTTGAATGAAAAATTATTTAAATTGGTAAAAATTTATGAAAAACACGAATTATAATATCCTCTGAATGACGTCGTATAAGAAAACATATAAAAATCTACTTATATTTGAAAAAACATTAAAAATTTTTTGACATATCAATGCTCCCAAGTATTAATCTACCTGTATTCTTCTGCCATGGCCAGCCCATAAACCGCAACGAACCGTGACCTTTTCTGGATTAATTGCCTGATCTTCACTTAACTCTGGATTAATTGGCTGATCTTTACTCATTATAAATTATTGATTATGCGAATTATTAAAAACAATTTATAAATAATGTTTAAACAAATAAGCATTCCCAGCTCTGGATTTTTTGTAGTTTACAGGTTTCCATCTCTGATTTGTCTTGTGTATACAATGGATTTATAAGTATAAATCAGCTTTAGGCATTTCTCTTTCATTATTTTGTCCATCTATGACAAGATGAGCAAATATTGAGTTATCGATAAGAGTACTTGGCATTCATCGAAATATCCACAAATGATCATTATAGGCAGTTTCTTAAATGGTGAAATTAGTGTGTTGTCAGCGCTGCCCACTTAACGTTGTTCTGCTACTTAGTGCACCGGATCAGTTTAGAGCAATTTGAATATTATTCATAATGAATAAACATTAAAACATGAACTAATTTGAAATAAATCACGAATAATGGTGCATTTATTTCGGAACTGCAAATTATTTGAGCAATTAATTAACTGATTAATTGTTTCTGCAAAGTGGGTAAGTCCGGTCGCTAGTTATTGGGATTATTATCTCAGTTGATGAGTCAATTGTTTGCAATGCGTGCAAAACAAAGATTTCATTTATCAATTGTTGAGCAATTTAACGCATGGAAAAATTAAAAACTGGGGATATCCACAGAAACAAAAATAGGGGGCACGATTGTTTAAATTGTTCTATGTTGTTTAGAATTTTTAATTGAAACATACGTGCGAAAAAAACATACATAGCGAAGAAAAAATATGTTATCATAATTTTGAGCCTAACGAAGAGAGACCACAATGTTGGTCACAATATTGAAAAAAAAAAAATAATTTATTTTAGTACCACGGGTTAATGCTTTCTTTGGATATAAGATCTGTAGACGGACATTTATAAATAAATTTGCACTGTTCCAAAACTGGAAAGAATCTAATAGTTTTTAGTTTGTTTTTCGAAATCATAGAGGAAAATTCGGTTATCGTAGTAAAAACTTTTATATTCTTCCTGTTCTGGAACAGTGCAATTGTAACATAAAAAAAATAATTAACGTGAGTAATATAGATCTAAAGGTGAGAATACATAAAACGTTTTTCTGACTGGCTTAAGTCATCGGCTGGAAAAGAGCAAAGGAGCCTAGGCCGAAATCGAACTAAGTCAACCTAAAACTCCTTTCTTCCTCTACGAAGAAGCCAGCCGATGACTTAATCCAGTCAAAAAAGCCTTTCATGTACTCTCTCCCTTTTTTGACTGGCTTAAGTCATCGGCTGACTTCTTCGTAAAAGAACAAAGGTTGACATAGTTGGATTTTGACACTACACTCCTTTATGGGTGAGAAATAGTATCAAATTTTAGAATATGTTTAGATTTGTTCGATTTGGTCACCTTTGGCACGAATTATTGCCTTCAAACGGCCAATGAAACCGTCACACGCTGCCCGAATGTTGCTCTGTGGCATTTTGGCTCATTATCGGCGAAGCGCTTGCTTGAGGTGATCGACACTTTGGTGTTTTTCAGTGACAACCTTGCTTTCCAAAAAACTCCAGACACAATAGTCTAAGGGATTGGTATCCGGAGATTTTGGTGGTCATTTTGCGCTGGAAATAAAGCGAGGAACCTCAGTTTGTAACCATTCTTGGGTGGTGCGTGCTGAGTCCTGTTGGAATGTCCAAGGTCTCGGCCAAAATGTTGGCGTGTCCAAGGCTTTAATACACCCTCCAGAATATTTTCGCTACAATATTTGGCATTTATTCTGATGCCACGGTCGATGCCACACCATCACCATGGCCGACGCTTGAGTACTAGTGGCCAACCGAAGGTGCACTTTTCAGCTGACCTCTTTGGCAAACTGCTGGACAACGAATGTTTTCTCATCGAAAAAAAAAACAAATTCGACAGTTCACCACTTTCGACCAAGCGAAGCAACTCGTTAGGTCTTTTGAGTCTGTTTTCTTTCTGTTGCGGTGTAAGTTCTTACAATTTTTGGGATTTCAATGGTTTTACCTCGAGCTTATTTTTCAAAATTTTCCGAATGGAATATTGTGATATGTTCAGCTCACGAACCATCTTTCGGCCACTGCGACGTGGGTTTGATAAAGTCGCTTCTTTACTTTTCGAATCATTTTTGCTAAGGTTGCTGTTTTCTTGCGTCCACTTCCTTGACGCCGGGCTACGCTACCAGTATCACGGTAACGAACATTTAAAGTTACCAGTAGGAGTGGACCGATATTGCCCATTTCCGAATTCGATCTAAGTTTTATAGTAATATTACGATGTACCAAGTTTGGAACAAATCGGATACTCCCTTCAAGAATTATATTGCGACTCCAAATGTCCTGAAGGGGATTTGGTCCGAAGATACCTAGAATCCAAAACAGTTATATCGATGAGGCACGTTTGAGATCACTAGAAGATCTTGCAACGATTTTCTGTCTATAGAAGCCACCTAGATTGGCCCATATTTTTTCCTTTTGCCGGAAAGCCATATAGAAAACCTCGCTTCAATCGCAAATTATCAATTCCCATCAATATTAAACATGCGTTTGTGTGGTTTTATTTGATGTTTACCCCCAGTTTTTTATCACTTCTTTTTTATTTTTGGTTCATTGCAGATGACCTGGCAACACATCTGCACAGGAAGCAGGTTGTTTTTAATACTTTTAGTGGTTTCCTCGGTTGGCGTAATGGAGACGAAAGCAAAAACCGGTAAGTTGAAAAAAAAGGAACTGACAAAGTGGGAAAAAATGAAATTAATACGCATATCAATGAACAAAAAATTAAAAAAACAAGAGAGGGAAGAGAAGACATGCAAATGCCAAAAGAAACCTTCCCAAAAAAAAAACAAAACGCAAAAAATGTGAAGCCAAGCTATTGAATGACACAAACTAACGGTTATTTGTATTTTCACTTTCACAGGACCCGTACATGGCAAGGTTGTGGTGTGCTACATATCAACATGGGCTGTTTATCGACCGGGACATGGTGCCTATTCCATAGATAACTTTGATCCCAGCCTTTGCACACATGTGGTTTATGCCTTTGCTGGCTTGGATCCCGAGTTGTCGGCCATTAAATCTTTGGGTATTATGAATTTTGAGTTTTGACATATTCCATGTTTTCATTTTTAATATTTTGTAGATCCCTGGCAGGATTTAAAGGAAGATTATGGCAAAGGTGGCTATGAACGTTTGACGGGCCTGAAACGTACCCATCCCCACTTAAAAGTCTCACTGGCCATTGGTGGTTGGAATGAGGGTTCCAAAAACTACTCGCGCATGGTTGCCGATCCAATGGCCCGTGGAAAATTCGTCAAACAGGTTACCTCGTTTATAAGACGTTACAATTTCGATGGCCTCGATTTGGATTGGGAATATCCCACACAGCGTGATGGCAATCCAGCTGATCGGGAAAATTTTGTTCTACTCTGCAAGGAATTGAGAGAACAATTCCAACCGCACAATCTGTTGTTGACCTCGGCCATTGGAGCGGCCAAAAATGTGATCGATCAGGCCTATGATGTTAGACAGATTTCACGTTATTTGGACTTTCTGCATATCATGTGTTACGATTATCATGGCAGTTGGGATCGTAAGGTTGGCTACAACTCACCGTTGACAGCACCGCAAGGGGATGCCTTGAGTGTGGTGAGTTATGTGAAGAATCTCAAAAAAAAAAAAATTATGTTTAAACAAGTAAAAAGCAGCTAAGTTCGGCCGGGCCTTGAACTTGAACAATTTCAAACATTTTTTTTGGACCGATATAGCCCATCTTCGAACTTGACCTGCATGCAGACAAAAGACAGATCTGTGCAAAATTTTAGCTTCCTATCTTAATTCGTTTTGACTGTAGCGTGATTATAACGGACGGACAGGCCGGACGGACAGGATTAAATCGTCTGAGAATTTTACGCAGATCAAGAATACACCGTGAGATAAAAAAAACTGCAACACTACGCTATTTTGTTCATTTCCGAAGAAGCCAGCCAATGACTTAAGCCAGCCAGATAAGCGCTTTATGTATTCCCACCTTTATTTCGATTTTGGCTCTACTCTTCATTGTTCTTTTCCGAAGAAGCCAGCCGGATGACTTAAGCCAGTCAAAAAAAACCTTTTTATGTATTCTCACCTTTATCTAGGTCTTGTTATTACAAATTTTGATTAGCTTAAAAATTCGCTATTCCGAACGAATTAAATTTCCTTAAATAAATTTCTGTTACCTAACACCTGTTTCTTTTTCAACAGCAATACACCATCGATTACCTCCTGAAACTGGGTGCTCCAGCGGAAAAAATTGTAATGGGCGTACCATTCTATGGTCGGACCTTCAAGACACCCTATGATGGCAATATTGGTGACGATACCGATGGCACAGCCTTCCAAGGACCCTATACCCGGGAGGATGGTTTCCTGGGTTACAACGAAATCTGTCAAATTTTGAAAAATAAAACTTCCGGTTGGACAACGATGTGGGATCCCGAAACATCGCAGGTTGTGGCCCGTTCCGAAAAGGATGTCTTCAACGGCCTCGTCCAAGTGGTGACTTTTGACAATTCCCGTTCCATAGCCAATAAGGTGAAATTTGCCATGGATCGCAATTTGGCCGGCATAATGGTTTGGTCCATTGACACCGATGATTTCCTGGGTGAATGTGAAATCGAAGAAGATGTCTATGAGGACTTTAGGCATTTGAAACATTCCGGTCTACGGCTGCCCACCAGACTGCACAACAACTATCCTTTGCTGAGAACCATCAACGAAGCCATGCCCCTGGCCATTGAGGAAATCAAAAATAAACATCATCACCATCATGATGAGGATCATGACATGCATGGACATGGTGATCATGGCCATCGCAATTATGACGACGACGACGATTCAGTGGAGGACAATGAAATTCCACATGGCAGTGTCGAAGATCGCAAGGGAGAGAGCAATTCGGCTTTGCGAAAATTACAAAATCCCTTCTTTGTTGCCGTGGTCTGGTGTCTGTTATCTTTAGTTTTTTAATTGATATTTGTTTTAAGTTACCTTCTCCGAAAGAAAGCAAAGCAAATTCGTTTGGAATATATCAAAATTGAAGTACGCATTAATAAAGAGTTCAGTCACGTTTAGGGGGCTCTTTATTTGATTTGAATTTTCAGGAAAATTTTGTATGAAGAAAGCTTAAGCAACTTAGTTTTAAAAAAAATATTAGATTGTAAAAAAACACATTGGCCTTAATTAAAAATTTAAATAAAAATAGATTTAAAAACAATGTCGACATGTTTATTTTATGTGGAAATCAAAGCAGAAAAAATCAGAATAGACAAATAAAAAGGAGAAATCTTTAGTTAAATATAGGTTAACGGGAGATGGATCCTCTCGAATATCAAGATTATCTTCTAATTTTTGTTTTTTGGTGCCTGTTTAATGAGGCTGATGCCTACACAGACGAGCCTGTTTTAGTTGACTCCTTGGAAGACATTATTGAAGCAATTATTCTTGAATACTGGTCGAAATGTTGGATATTAAACTAAGCGACATTTGCATGAAATAGTCATTGATCATTGAAACTTTTTGAAAATTTTAGAAGTTTTTTTCGACCAAACCTATTTTGATGTGACGTTTAAGGTTCTATGAAGATATAAGAACTTTCTGCTGAAAATGCTTAGTATAGTTCTATTATTTAGAATAACACCCATATTGCGGTAGAGCACTTCGTATTTCATAAAAATTCAACTCCAATTTTCAACAGAATTGGTGCAACTTTGATCATGGCTACAATCTACTCTCTATATTATGAGTATGAGTAAATCCAAAAGAGAGTCTGTAAGGAAAAGTCTAAAATCGGGTGAGGCCGACTGTATGATACCCTATACCAACATGCATATTTAGTAGAGCTCCCCTAAAAAAAAAATTAATTTGAAGTAGATCATAACAACTACCCAAATTATGCTTTAGAGCAGTTATTGTTTGGTTTCAAAGGGATCTAATATATGGGAGGCATATCCAATTCTGAATCGATTTTCACCAAATTTGATGGAGACATTTTAATCTTTTATAGCAATAACATTGCACAATATCACTTTGAGAAGGATTATATTAAAAATATATATATCTGAGCCGAGTTCCACAAAATTGAAACCTACGTCCGAAATTCACTGCATTTGGGCTTATATTATTTATTATTTGCATAATAAATCTGAAATCGGATTAAGGATATACAGGGTGAGATGAAAAAACTGCTACCAACTTCAGACTGCTGTCATTTCTAAGTCACTCTTCCGACAGCTGTTAACATTATTCCAGTGACGGCTCATTATATTGTTAACAAGCGTACAAAAGCATTTTGTTGAGAACTTTTCAGAACAAAGTTTCTCGTGATGGAGTTCAAGCGTGATATTAAAAAAAGCTAAAGAGTTGTTTCGCTTGGCCGAAAGTGGTGAACTGCCGAATTTGGTTCTCTCCGTCTCCGATGAGAAAACATTCGTTGTCCAGCAGTTTGTAAACAAACAAAATTATCGTATTTACTTGCCAAAGAGGTCAGCTGAAAATGTCCACGTTCGGTTGGCCACCAGAACTCAAACGCCGGCCATGGTGATCGTGTGGGCCGCCATAACAGCCGATGGTCGCTCTCCGCTCGTATTAATCGACCATGGCATCAGAATAAATGCCGAATAATATCGCGAAAATATTCTGGTGGGTGTCTCAAAAGCCTTGGGCAAAGCCGCAGACCTTGGACATTCTAAGAGGAATCAGCACCATCGCACTCAGCACGCGCCACCCAAGAATGGTTACAAAAAGAGGTTCCTCGCTTCATTTCCAGCACACAATGGCCACCAAAATCTTCGGATACCAATCCGTTGGGTTATTATGTTTGAAGTATTTTGGAAAGCAAGGTTGGCACTAAAAAATAACCAAAGTGTCGATCACCTCAAGCAAGCGCTTCGCCGGGAATGGGCCAAACTACCGCCGAGCAATATTTGGGCAGCGTGTGACGGTTGCATTGGCCATTTGAAGGCCAAAGGTGACCAATTCGAACAAATCTAAAAAATTTGATGCTATTTCCGAATTTTTTTTACTCTCATTCAATAAAATTTAAAAAAAAAAAATGTAAAAATTATGACATTTGACATTGTTCCAGTTCTTTTATCTCACCCTGTATATATACTTTGTAGGGTCAATCTTGAGTATTTCGAGGAGTTACAAACAGAAAACTTTATATACCATCCATAGAATGGTGGAGGTTATAAAAATGTATGAGTTATTCCTATTTATAATTTACAAGGCATAATGACTTGATTTTATATTACCGTGTAATGTGTAACGGGGACGCAAAGTGATCGTGTCCTGCTCTCAGCATTACTGGTGATGAGAACTACACACCTTCTGCATTACTAGTATCCCACTACATAATCTCTGCATTACCAGTAGCTAAAAATAATAAATTATTCTTAAAAGAAGTACGCGACAAAATAAACTACCTTCATCTTACCAAGTAATGAGTAATGGTGACACAGAGTGATCATATCTGATTACAAAATATGAAATCGCGGGTTCAAATATTCTCGTCAATTAAAAATGGAAAGTGATTCAGTTACAAATAAATTCAGCTATAAGGGCTTAAAAATAGAACGACTGCTTTTTCGATTTATGTATGTCCTCGAGGTGCCAGTTTGCTATAACATGTCCACGTTAAAGTAAGGGGCTAGGACTCACTTTTAAAATTAACCTTCCTTTAATAAATCCTTTGTTTGGTAATAAGATTTTTTACTCTGAGTTACTCATTGTGCCGTTGACTCAGATACGACTGATCCCTATAATTATATAATAATATGAGTATTATCAGCCCTGCTCAGAACCGTGTTCTAGAACATGAGTCAAAAAATGGATAATTTAAGAGAAAATTAAAATTTTTATATTTCTTCATATTTTACGATTCCATTTAATTGTTTTTAAACATGAATGTTTGTCAAAATAATTTATTAAGCAAATGGATAACAAATATTCGTATAAATAATGACTAAACACTGTTTTGTTCTTGATTTAAATAAGCAAAGAGAAATTTGACTGGAAAGAGATATTTTTTCTTGAGCAGCGCTGGCAATATATTTATAGACCAACTTTCTAAGACATTCTCTTGTGAGAAAATCTTAAATACGTATCTTGTCATTCTATAAAAATAAGAAAAAAAATATTTTTAATTTTATAAATATTTTTATTTCTTTGTATTTTTTGTTTATTTATTTTGTTCTCGAAATATCAAACAATTTTTACTATATTATATATATGTTTATGTATGTATATATATATATGGGTACGTTGTAAAATTCTCATATGATTAATTTCTTATACGAGTATCTTTTTTTTTGAGTTTTCATTTTATTTATCTTTATTTCAACATTTAATAAACTTATTTATGTATGTATGTATGCACACATTAAAGCCAACTTGTATGTATGTACGTCTAAATGGTATTTATATAAACTTTTGAGCCATATTAAATTACATAATGTTATAGTATAATACTATTAATTATTATTATTTTATTGTACGATCTTTTGTTGATATTATTTAACTACATAATATTAATTGAACATAACTATAAATAAATATTTATAACATTTTATTATATATTTTTTTTAAATATAATTATTGTATGTATAGTCGGGTACTTTATTATTATTATTTTTTAATTAATTTTTTCATCATAATTTATTTACGTAAAACGTCTATGTTTGAGAATGGATGAATTCTCTTTGTGATGTCATGCATAGTATGTTGTGGTGAGTGTGTGTGTAAGTATGCTATGTAAGTAGTATTTGTGAGACATAAATTCATATATGTATGTATAGTATGTATATGTATATAACAATATATAATTAGAATAATAATAAATATAAACAATTATTAATATTAAAATATGTATTCATTTACTAATTAAAAAGGATGGCGAACAATGTACGATTGGACTGATTTTTATTTTTATAATTAAATATGTTTTTTTATAGTGGCAGTTGCTATAGTTGAGAAATATAAAGATTGGCGAAAATATTTCAGTATTTGAAAATTATTTTCCTCATGAGAAGCGGGTTTTGTGAAATAGTGGCGGGAAGAAAATATTTGGAATTTAAATTAAGGAATCAAACCCTATGGGTGGAGGAGATACCAGAAGAAATGGTCTAATCTCTACCATCTTTATAAAAGATATTGAGTTGATGGAAACATTGAGGTGTACCAAGTCTGAATGGAATCGGATATTAATTTCGCGTTTTATGAGCCTCATGAATATTCAATATTTTGACCCTTTGTGGGAGAGGTACCAGAAGGAATGATCCGATCTCTACCTTCTTCACAGCAAATCTTGTGTTGATAGAAATAATGGGATGTGTGAAATTTTAAGAGAATCGGATGCTTATTTCAGATTTTATAACCGTTTGGTTATTTAAAACTTTGACCCTTTTGTGGGGGACGTACCAGAAGGAATGGTCTAATCTCTACTATCTTTATCTGTGTTGATAGAGATATTCAGATGTGCCAAGTCTGAATGGAATCGGATATTAATTTCGCGTTTAATGAGCCTCATGGATATTCAACATTTTGACCCTTTGTGGGGGAGGTACCAGAAGGAATGGACCGATATATCCCATCTTCACGGTAGATCTTCTGCTGATAGAAATAATGGCATGTGTGAAATATGCAGAGAACCGGATCATTTTTAATTACCATTTTGGTTATTCAAAACGTTGACCCCTTGTGGGGCAGGTATCAGAAGGAGATACCAGAAGAAGTGGACCGATATATTCCATCTTAACACTACACCCTGGGGTAATAAAAATGTTGGTATGTGTGAAATTTGAGGCGAATCGGACTCTTAAATCACATTTTATAAGAGTTATAATTATTCAAAATTTTGATCCTTTGTGGGGAGGTACCAGAAGGAGGGGACCGACATTTTCCATTTTTGCCCCTGACCTAAAACTGATGCAAATATTAGGATTTGCAAAGTTAGAGTAAAATCGAATTATCCTTTCTTTTCCTGTGCAGAAAAATCTTTTGGGAGGAGGTACCAGAATGTACATTGGCCATCTCGGAACTCGATCTAAATTCGATAATAATATTACGATGTACCAAGTTTGGACCAAATCGGGTACTCCCTTCGAGAGTTATAGTGCTCACCAAGAAGCCAGACAGACAGACGGACGGACATCGCTAGACCGACTCCAAATGTCCTAAAACGGATTTGGTCCAAAGAGACCTAGTGTCTAAAACCGTTATTTCGACATTTCGACATTTTGACCGTATCAAATGATATATACCCTCTTTAGCCATATGGCTGAGGGTATAATAACACCTTTCTATAGGACTTCTGGAGGTCACGGCAAAGTCATACATTGGATGGGATATAAAAATACTAATTCAATGATTCACAAACGGAAAGACATTCTATTTAGAACTGACAAGACCTTAAATTCCAAATACTTTTACTCCCAAGCCACTTATCTCTCGCCAACCTCCTCTCACTCACCACTCGATTCCAGTTGTTTTCAAACGAAAACCTCATTTCATAAACGATTCCGATCACTATTACTATTATCCGACCACTCACGATCGCTGTTGTCCTTTCGTGCGGGCTTTTGTGGAGTTCGGGGTTTATTGTTGCCTGCCGTTCTTGCCACACTACGATTCACCACCGAGGGCACCTGTTGTTGTGGCTGCTGTTGCTGTTGCTGCGATGGCGGCTGTTGATCATCAATAACCTCGTAATGGGCTTCGGTGAGATTTTTCGTTGAGCGTCGGTGGGCTTCTAAACTTTGCGATTCCGATGAATACGGATACGATGCCACGAAATTGGTCGGTGTTGTTTGACCCTGATTGGTGATCTCCCCGAAATCATTTAACTGATTGAGTTTCTGACCACATGGGGTCATGGGCGAGAGATCGGTGAATTCAGTCTTTGCCTCTGATTCAACGGAACACATACTTTGGCAAGACGGATCTTTGGGTATGTGAGCTTCTTTGTTGGGACCGCCTAGGATTTTTAAGTTCTCTACAAAACCTTCATTGCCATGGGCATTTTGGGGGAAGGGCAAACGGCTGCGTATGGAATTTTCGCGCGGTCCAAATCGCTGAGCCAAGTAGTCCTCGTTGGTACTGCTGCTGCAATTGCTTAGCTGGTGCTGATGATGATGGTGGGTGTGGTTGTGGGGATGTGTGTGCGGATGATTGCCGTTGGGAGGTATTAACGTTCTTTGCGATGCCCTGGTGTCTTCATAATAGTGATCATTTTTCACCGACATATTACAACAGCTGCTGACATCGGCAAAATAGACTTCCGATTCGGTGGGGTCACTGCTTTCACCCGCCTGCTGTTCTATCTGCTGCGTGGCGGTATTGGTGGATTCACAGCTATTTTGGAAAGCGGAATTTTCAACACCACATTTATTTAGCTGTTGTTGTTGGTGCTGCGGCTGTCCGGTTTGTGGCACATCTTCACCCAATATTTGAGGTTCATGATATTCCTGTTCCTCCTCGCCGTTGCCACAATGCTGAGCATTGGCAGAGAAGACCTGTTGCACATTGACTCGCTGAGCACTTTGTGAATTGGGTCCAATACTTTTGTTGCCCGGATCCAAACGTTTTTTAATCTTCCGTGTGGGCAAGGTATTGGAAAACCGATCCCGTTCTCTCAGATTACCACCACAATCACTGTCCGAGGGAGTGTTTTCATATTCCACTTTGGACTTGAAGTTGCTCACACTACCCACCGTTGAGGCGCTAGATCTGGCAATGGAGTTTTGTTGACAACAATTCGAAGCACCCGGCTGTTCCATAAACCCGGTATTCGGCTGCTCGGTAATGTTGGGATTTACCATTGGCACCCCAGTGGATGGGTTACCGTTTGCATTGTTGCTGGCATGGTGATGTGGTGGTTGTATGTATTGGTAATAACCCCTTCTTGCTGGACTATTGGGGTCACTGTAAGGTGGAGGTGGTCCCCACACGCCATAGGGCAAGTTCCCCGATAGCACATTGAATTGTTGTGGATTACCACCATTGGCTACGACGGCATTGACATCTTCACCCAGAGCATTGGCCGCCAGCACATTGCTATTCGAAAAGCCATACTGAGAGTCAGGACTGGAGGGAGTTTGACGAAAACGTGAATTAGGATCGGGGGAGCTACGCTGCCACCAACGATTCCAACTCCAGCCGCTACCTCGACCACGTCCAGTTGTAATTTCATGACGTCGACAAGTGTTGGTCAAGCCCATCAGATCATCACCCCCAGGATTGGGGGAATAAAAGTTTCCCGGAGGCTGTGTTGACCAAAACCGGGGTTCACTGCTTTCATCCCATGGATAGGCAGTGGCCTGCAAGGGTACCTGCCTATGGGCATGACATTGTTCACAGCACCGACAGCCATGGGGAGCTGCTGCAGCTGCAATGTTTTGTGGTGGCATCTGAGGACGTGTGTAGAGTGAACGACAGCGCAGTTCCAGCTGTTCCCAATACATTTTCTTGCGTTCATGGCTGTAAGAGTAATTTGAGGTTAGTAGGTGCTTGGAAGTGAGGGACTGTTACGCTTACCTTAGCAATTGATAGACCAGCATACAACTGAATACAGCCACCAATACACCGGCCACAGATAGACCAAATATTGCCCTTAAGCAGGAGTATAGTGAACCATGGACCACACCGCAATCCGACAGGGAGTCGAATACCAAACGAACACCCTCTGAAAGAGATTTGAAAGAGGATATAAAAAAAAGCGGTATAAAAATAATTTATAAAGGTATTTTCTATATTCAGGGTGATATGAAAAAACTGCAACCAACTTCAGAATGCTGCCATCTCTAAGCCACTCGTCCGACAGCTGTTAAAATTGCCATTGAAATTCAAAAAAGTGCAATAACTTACACCGCAACAGAAAGAAAATAGACTCAAAATAGCTAAAGAGCTGCTTCGCTTGGCCGAAAGTGGTGAACTGCCAAATTTGGTTTTCTCCGTCTCCGATGAGAAAACATTCGTTGTCCAGCAGTTCGTAAACAAACAAAATGATCATGTTTACTTGCTAAAGAGATCAGAACTCAAGCGCCGGCCATGGAGATGATGTGGGCCACCATAACAGCCGACGGGCGCTCTCCGCTCGTATTAATCGACCATGACATCAGAATAAATGACGAATATTATCGCGAAAATATTCGGGAGGGTGTATTAAAGCTTTGGGCACGCAAACATTTTGGCCGCATACCTTGAACATTCCAACAGGACTCAACACGCGCCACCCAAGAATGGTTACAAAATGAGGTTCCTCGGCGTACAATGTCACCCAAAATCTCCGGATAAAAATACCAAAGTGTCGATAACCTCAAGCAAGCGCTTCGGCCGGAATGGGCCAAAATACAGCAGAACAACATTCGGGCAGCGTGTGACTGTTTCCTTTGCCGTGAAAGCCATAATTCGTGCCAAAGGGGACCAATTCGAACAAATCTACACTTATTCTAAAATTTGATGCTATTTCTGACATTTTTGCTTCGAATTAATAAAATTAAAAATAAAAATGAAAAAAATATTGCGTTTGACTTTGTTGGAGTTTTTTTATCTCACCCTGTATAACCTTAAATATTCAAAAACGAAATTTTCGGAAAAAAATCTTTGAAAAGTGTAGAGTTTATTTGTCAAAGCTGTTTTGGGAGGATGTTATTTTTTTAAGCATGTGCTCAAAACTCTTCACTTTATCCCCAATAACATTCTGTAAAACTCCACAATGTGGGCTAAGATAATCCTTAAATCCATTATATGACCTTAAATATTCAAAAACGGGATTTTGTGAAAAATTTTCCAAAAAATTAGAGTTTATTTCTCAAAACTCTTCTTGGGGAAATGTGAATTTTTTAAACATATTCTGCAAAACTCTACACTATATCCCCAATAGCATCCTTTAAAATAATTTTTAAAAATTCTCACTCAAATCAAATAACTTGTGACGAGGTGTCATATATCCAATTGTTAACCCAATTATACATACCCTTATCCACTCGATCCACCTGCGATTCAATCATATCCGAGTAACAGGTGCACGTTCTGGTCTTTTGGGCATATTCACATTCGCGCAAGGCTTGTAAGCGGCTCATGTGTAAAACGGTGGTGGTGACGGTGACCAAAGCACATGTCAGAGCCGAGATTAGGCCACAGGCCCCGGATAACTTGATTAAATAGCTGTAACGATTTCGACGGCGGGCCAGGCTCATGACACAGAGGCCAGTTAAAATTAACTAAAAAAAGATAAAAATATAATTTTCAAATTTCCATAAAACTTTTGCAAAAAAACAAACTACTTACCAGGGTGGCGGGCACAAAGGTGGGTACAGTTTCGAAATTTCCCACCGTTATGGTGTACGAGTGTAACAGGAAGTAAACGCCTAAAAACAATAGGCCCAATATACACGAGAAGCCACCGCACACCAGACACCATACCACATACTTTTTTATCACCATGCCAGGACGTCCTCGGGCAGCTGAAAAAGGGATTAAAAAAAGGGATACGATTATCATTAGTGTTATTGTGGCGAACTCCATTGATTTTTCTTTTTTCTTTTGTGGTCAAAATGTCAAAGGTCTAACTTAGTGGGTAGGCGCCATGTACTGCTGCGTCACGTACTAGACCCCTGTGATGGGGATTCGGCTGCTGTGGCATCCATTGGCAGGTGGTAGGTGGTGGCATGCTGTACTGCATGAACTGCATTACAGGATAACCATGCATTTTGTTGGGCAAATGTCAAGGATTTCTTGGCCACGTAAATAAAAAAAATATTGCCACTCAGGGGAGGGATCGTTGATTATCCTTTGTAATGGGAGTTTTTAACACTTTCTGATTTGATTCAAACTATTTGTCTCAAAATATCCATGCCATTTTCCATAATAATTTCTATTATTTTCCGAATTTTTCTAATTTTTTCCATTCACACACTCTCTTTTTCATTTGTATCTATCCTCCCGATGTTGTTCTGTCATGGAATTTCGACTGCGTTCGTTTAGTGAAGATATAACACAAATAAAAAGAAAATTCCTTCACTACTCTAACATTAAGAATCTCTTCATCATCCCTTCTCTCTGGCTGCCATCACACATTGCTATCATCATCCCCATCATCCCCTTTACTTTAGAAGAGCTTTATGAAGCCAGTCAGGCAGAGATAGTCGGTAAATGTTGGTTGTTGGCCTTTAACTGCCAGCCGCCCACACTTGACTTCAAAAGCTTTTTTTTTTGTTTGGTTTAGTTTATGTCAGTTAACATAATAATTTATGTGAAAGCTTTGTGGAGAATATTAACATAACTTTTTGGTACTCTGTTTTGTGTAGGGCGCATGTACGGAAGCAGGGTTTGAAATACTACCAGTAGAGGAATTTTTGTACGAAATGTTTCTTTAAAGTTTTTAAGGTTTTTATGTGGTCTAAAGGGGATGAGTGAATTTAAGATATGCCGGACTAAGTTTCTCCAAATGGAGAAAATCGGTTATATTACATATATGGTGAATAATAACCGTAAAATCGGATGAAGATGCATATAGAAATTATATAAAAATGCGAACCGATCTCGATAATATTTGGCAGAAGTATTTTTGAGCTGGATTTGATGTACGGTATCAAATATTATTGCTGTGGAGTGTATATTACGCATGTGAGGCACTTTAACACCAAATCGGATGGAACATATATATGTGGGAGCTATAGCTATATCTATATCTATATATATATTTCACCAAATTTGAAGTACTTGTTTTTAGGATAAATTGAGTAAGAATTACCAAGATTTAGTTCATTTGGACTAATATTAGCCATTTGGTGCACAATATTCCTGTAATAGAGATTTATATTGGAACTATATCCAAATCTGAACTAATCTTGATATCATTTTAGAGACTTATTTCTGAGTATGTATCGGTATCTGATGTTCGGTACCAAAGATCAGTGTTGTGGAGTGCACATTACGCATGTGAGTGACCTAAACCCCAAAATGGGATAAAACATTTATATATCGGAGCTTTACTGAATCTGAACCGATTTTTACCAAATTTGATGTACTTGCTTCTAGACTGAATTCGATCGGGTGTGCCAAAATGCAGGTCATTTTGACTGATATTGGCCATTTGGTGCACAATTAACCCGAAATCGGTGGAAGATATATATGTGAGCTATATCTAAATTTGAACCGATTCTCACCAATTTCAATAGGCTTCCCTAGGCCAAATAAATTATTTGTGCAAAATATCATCTCGATCGGATAATAAATGCGACCTATACTTTGCTAACAATAATACATGGACAGACGGACGGACATGCTAAAACTACTTAGAATGTGATTCTATGCAGAACATCATAAGGAATTATAAGTCTACCACGCTTGTATTTTTAAGTCTGAGGCATGTTACAAACACATGCACAAATACATAAAACCCCCTCCACTATGTGGTTTAGGGTATAAAAATTCACGATGTAAGACTTCAAAAATATTCTGAAAAATTCACTGAGATAGTCCTTTTAAATATCCTTTCAAAAATGTTGTTTTAAAAATCATTGATGTGAACCTACGATATGTGTTCTTCCAACTTTGTCGAAAAATATCCAATAATGTTCCAAAAATCTCAGACTAATCTGAAAATCAACGATCTGAGTCCTAAAAATGTGATATAAAATCCTATGTATCGGTTCAATTTAAATAATCGATTTATGCCCGAATAGCCATTCAAATCAGCCTTACGGTTTTAATAAGGTTTTTATGAGTCCTCGAACAATTAAAAAGTTGAAAATTCGTCTTCATTTATTGGTCCACATCTGTTACCCTCTAAACGCCCTTGTGGGGATTTCGAGATTTTTGAATTGATTTTCAGGTCTAAGACACCCTTCTTGCAGCTTAAGACGTAATCAGGACTGATATATTCGGGAGGCACAAAAAATATATTTCAACATTTGGGCGCCATATATTTGCCTAACATAGACTTCGAGTATGAAAAACTGTGGCACAACAGAAGCTTAAATAGTCCTTCAGAAATATACGATGTTAGTCCTTTAAAATTATATTAGTTCTCTAAAATAATCTCTTCGTAATGAAATAGCCCCCAAAACTAAGTCCTTAGTTTTCCGTTGAAAATCAAAAATTGTGTTAATCGTGTCAATTAAAAAGTTTTAAAGATTTCCTCATTAATTGGTCAACGTCATTTACTCTTTGGAAGCCTTTGTGAAGATTTTGGAAAAATTGAAGTGATTTTTAGGTCGAAGTTAGCCTTCTCACAGCTTTGGATGTGGCCAGAACTTCTTTGTTTTGGAGGCACACAAAATATATTTTAACATTTGGGCGCCATATATATTACTAATATAGATTTTAGGTATGGGAACTGTAACAATATTACCAATAATTCATGCCCTTGCCAAAACCAATATTTGATTTGATTTTCGGGTCTAAGGCAACCTTCTCGCAGCTTAAGACTTAATCAGGACTTCTATGTTCGGGAGGCACAAAAAATATATTTCAACATTTGGGCGCCATATATTTGCCTAACATAGACTTCAAGTATGAAAAACTGTAACCCAACAGAAGCTTAAATAGTCCTTCATAAATATTCGATGTGAGTCCTTTAAAATTATGACAAAAATTCACGATATTAGTTCTCTAAAATAATCCCTTCGTAATGAAATAGCCCCCAAAACTAAGGACTGTGGAGGTTCTTAGTTTTCCGTTGAAAATAAAAATTGTGTTAATCGTGTCAATTAAAAATTTTTAAAGTTTTCCTCATTAATTGGTCAACGTCTTTTTCTCTTTGAAAACTTTTGTAAAGACTTCGGAAATTTTGAATTGATTTTTAAGTCAAAGTTAGCTTTCTCATAGCTTTGGATGTGGCCAGAACTTCTATGCTTTGGAGGCACAAAAAATATATTTAAACATTTGGGCGCCATATATATTACTAATATGGACTTTAAGTATGAGAGCTGTAACCAATAATTCATACCCTTCCCCAAAACCAAAACAAGGTTAGGTTCTTCTACGCAAGAACTCGTTCTCAATACATACCATTCTAGAAGTGTCATCAATAAATTTATAAATTTCAAAGCTCTTACATAAATATTTTGGGTTCTTGCGAGATTTTAATTAATTGACAGAAATTAACCGTCATTACATCTCATAACGGAGCGTAGACAGATTGGGCGCAAAATGAAGGAATTCATATCCTAATAGACAGTACTAAAACGAAACATCTCTATAATCTGTAGAGTCTATATAACCTTGGGAGGCTAGACACATTGGGCATCAAATATACCTCCCGAAATAGGCGATGTACCTGGGGGTTCTCTTATGGTGTGGATGGACTTGGGGGTTCTCTTATAGTGCTTATGTTAAGTTAGCAAATTTTGAGAGGGGTTCTTGGGATGATTGAGATTCTTAAATGTTATATTATTTATTTGTTCATAGTAGGCACATTGGGCGCCAGCTATATGACTCTAATGAGTACTCTTAAATCGTGGATGTGTCTTGAAAATATTTTGTATAGAGGTTTTCTGATAATTGAGGTGCTTTAAAGTGGTATTAGATCCTTTTCAAAATGCAGAAAAACGGCTCATTCTCAAAAAAAAAAAAAAAAAAAAAAAATATTGGGCTGGACAAAATAAACACCTCTAGTTTATTTGTAGAGGATAGACACATTGGGCGATAACTATAGGAAATGTATCTTGAAAATATTTTGTGCAGAGGCCCTCTGATTATTGAGGTTCTCAAATAAAATATGAACTCCTTTAAAAAGGTAGACAACTATGTCGCGTTCTCAAAACAAAACATTCCAAGAGTAATATCAGTATCTTTTAAACTCAAACAAAAATGTGTTGAACTCTCCAATGATTTTACCGACTACATCCACACCGTATAGTGAGGATAGGTCATTTGGGCGCCAAAAATAGGAAACAGTTCCCAGAAAAGTTGTGCTAATGGATAGGACTAAATCGACTTCTCTTCCTTATCTATGGAGAGTAGACATATTGGGTGCCAAATAAGGAAATTGACCCAAAAAAACTCATTCCAATGGATCACACAAAATCAAAACCTCTAATTTCTGTGCATGGTAGGCACATTGGGCGCCAACTATAGGAAAACATCCCAAATTAAAAAAAAACATTCCAAAATAAATTCATGGACAGGACTGAACGGAGATATCTAAATTATCTGTGAAGGCCACACACATTGGGCGCCAAATTAAGAAAACCATCCAAAACCGTTAGGTGTCGTATTGGGGGTTATTTTAAAACGTAGATGTATAACATATTTGGAAGGATATCATCGAATCGATTAAGTTCAAAAAATGGAACATGGAGTCATTTTTAAACGGAAACATATTTGTCCCCTTCGTGTAACATTTCCGAATTTCAATTATTCTAAGATCTTCTCAAAATATATCCACGTACGAGCAAATTTCCAAAGCTCCAACATGAATACTTTGAGCTCCGAACTCTATCATTAATACTTTGAACTCCGAATTAGTGGGCATGACTAAGACTACTTTTTCATCTGGGAAAGGAGAACATATTGGGCGTCAAGTAAAGTTATTCCAATGGACAAGACAAAATCAACGTAGATAATTTATCTGAGCGCCAACCATAGGAAAACGTCTCAACAAAATGTTGTCCCACTGGACAGGACTAAATCGACTTATCTAACCTATATGTGTAAAGTGCCAGATATGGAAACCCGTTCAAAAAAGGTTGACCGAATTTGTTTTTGTGTCTCTCTCTCTCTCTCTTTTTTCACATCTACTTACAATTCAATGAACCCGTTGCCGTTTTCGGTCTCGGTGGTGGTCTTGGAGGTAGTGGCGGCCGCAAATCCGAATTAGCACCCGGTACACCATTCGTTTCCTTCAGACATGCCTCGGTTATGGCCTCGGCATCACCATCACAATATATATCAATATTGTTGGCATTGTGATAATTCAAATCATCCGCTATGGAGGAACTTTTATGTGACAGACCACAAGATTTCCTTTCAATGGACGATGGCGAAGAAACAAAAAAGAAAAACGAAATAAAAATTAATCCAATAAAATTCCATTCCATTGATGGCGTTTTCAAAAGAGACCTACTTATTTTTGTTGCGTTCACAACGCTTGACGGTGCTGCTGTTATTATCCGATTCACTGACCGTAATCTCATCGGCGGTCAGCATTGCTTCGGACAAAACGAATTGTTTCATTTGATCTTTGCTATTGGGCGAGGATGATGAGGTAAGATCTTCGTTATCAATTGAGGTGGCGTCCCTATTTACATTTGCCTTGCCCCCCTCCTCCGCACGGCCGCATGTACATTCCAGGTCACAATCGCAGCTGGAGGCCTGCGATTTGAGTATTTTCGGTGAAGTGTCCAAGAGATTTTCGTTGAGGGATTCACTCACTTTGAGGGCCTGATATGAATGATTGAGCAATGAGGTTTCCGACTGGGACTTTTGTGGCAAATCGGAACTGTTGCTGATGGTGGGTGGTTCGGAACTGCTGTTGCTTCCACTGGCCTGGCGATGGACAATGACCGCTGCATCGATGCTGTTTTGGTGGGAATGCAGTCCCCGATTGGTGGCGTTATTTGGTGAATGGGGGGAATGTTGTGACATTTGCTGATGTTGTTGTTGCTGCTGCTGCAGCATTTGCTGTTGCTGCTGCTGCATGGCTGTGCCACAGCTACAGCTACATTGGCAGGTGGGTTGCAAAATGGGATTTGCATATTGATTGATGGCAGGCTGTTGATAGTACTGAATGTAGTGATACTGGTGCGAGGGGGGATAGATGACATTTTCCACGGTGCTGCTGGCCAGCGAGGGATTGAGGGAGGCCCGCTTCATGGCATTTGTGGGTACATTCATGGGTTTCCGTTCTGCTATTGAATTTTCCACTTCCATGTTGTAACTAATCCGCCGTCCATGAACTCTTTGTTGTAATTTTTTTCTGTTGTGATTAATACAATTTTAACACGCACATTTACACTTGGCCATACATATTAATGAGGCTTTCTTTCAATTTTAATGTACGTTTTTTTTTTGCTTCAAGTTTCCTCACTGCCCGACGAGAGCAGCGTTGAACCCAACCAGAGAACATAAAGATGCAACATTTCCTGGAGTGTTTGGCTACGTTGGTTGGTGTGTTCAAAATCTTAAATCTTGGGAGTTTAGTAGTGCACTTTTGTTGGTGTTTTTGTTGTTGTTGTTGATTGGTTGGGGTTCTTTTGTCGACAACTCCAGGCAACAATAATGGCTCTGAAGTGGCAACAACAACAGAGGCTGGCTGTTGTTAAACCGGTTTCAAGCAGCTCCCTTTGGAAGCCTGAATGCTTGTTCGATGTTGTAAAGAAAATTGTTAAATAAAATTTGTAATAAATCCATTGGCAATCCTCGAGAACTCCATTTTTATTTTCTTTCGAATTTGTTTTATTTAAAGATATTGAATTATTTTCATGGTCAAATTTCACAACAAACAAAAAACACAAGATTACTTTTAATTGCCCACTATTATGCCATCTTCAGCAATCTTCACTAATTTTATTGATCATTTGTCATGAGGAGCATTCATTCTTTCTTTCTTTCCTTCCCTCTTTCTTTCATTTATTATTAATTTTTTTTTGTTAACTTTGCTCGATATTGGTTGTTTCACTCCATTTATTTATGTTGCTTTTATTTTTTTTTGTATTTACTTTTTCATCTTGTGTTTCTTCTTTTTTTATTTCATCCAGAAGATCGTTTTATGTTTTTTTGGAGGTATTCAAAAGCCACCAACACCGAAGACGCGAAGCTGTGACGATAAAAACAAAAGAAATAAACGCGTTTCGTTCGTTTGGCCGTTTGTTAAACAAAAATGTTTTCTTGATTTAAAAACAAAAAACTATGGAACCGCTCCAAAACAAATATACAGATTGCGCTATGTCAACACAAACACAACTCTTGAGCAACTGGTTCGTTCCCACACTAGCCAAATATTACACCCAACCGACGTAATCGTCCATTACTCACGCGTCGCTCACTCCCAGTCCAGCTGAAATATTCTTAAGATACAAAATTGAATTTCAACAGCAATGATCAGCAATGTTTGGCTCTCCCTCTCAGTCTATGTGTGACTCTCTCTCTTCTTGATGGACAAATAATAGGCCGTTTTACTCTTTGGCAAAAATTCTTTGTCCAATTCTCTTAAAGGCCAATTTTAGTCACTGAGAACTGAGAGTTGAAACATTTTATGGCTTAATGACTTTACGAGGTCCGTATGGTTATGGTTAGTGATTAGCGGAGGAACATTGAAGGTGAAACAACACCTGTTTTAGTAGCAGGTAAGCGGAAATATAATATGGAAAGTTTACAACACAATTACGTGTAATACAACCAGCTGATTTGGATTGATTGGAAACATAAAAATATACAATATTGCCAAAAATGTCAACTTAGTGAAAAAGCAATATATATGTATATGTGTACAGGGTGAGATAAAAAACTGCAACAAAATCAAACGCCATAATTTTGACATTTTTTTTAAATTTAACTGAATGAAAGCAACACATTTCGGAAATAGCATCAAATTTTAGAATAAGTTTAGATTTATTCGAATTGGTCACCAATAAAACCGTCACACGCTGTCCTAATGTTGCGCTGCGGTATTTTGGCCCTTTCCCGGAGAAGCGCTTGCTTGAGGCGATCGACACTTTGGTATTTTTTAGTGCCAACCTTGCTTTCCAAAATACTCCAGACACAATAGTCCAACGGATGTGTACAGGGTGAGATAAAGAACTGCAACAAAGTGTAATGCCGTAATTTTTACTTTTTTTTTTAATTTTATTGAATGAATGCAAAAAAATTCGGAAATAGCATTAAATTTTAGAATAAGTTTAGATTTGTTCGAATTGGTCACTTTTGGCACGAATTATGGCCTTCAAACGGCCAATGAAACCGTCACACGATGCTCTCCGGTATTTTGGCCCATTCCCGGCGAAGCGCTTGCTTGAGGCGACCGACACTTTGGTATTTTTTAGTGACAACGTTGCTTTCCAAAATACTCCAGACACAATAGTCCAACGGATTGGTATCCGGAGATTTTGGATTGTGCGCTTGAAATGAAGCGAGGAACCTCATTTTGTAACCATTCTTGGGTGATGCGTACTAAGTGCGATTATGTTGAATCCTGTTGGAATGACTAAGGCCTACGGCCAAAATGTTTGCGTGCCCAAGGCTTTAATAAACCCTCCATAATATTTTCGCGATAATATTCACCATTTATTCTGACGCCAGGGTCGATTAATACGAGCGGAGAGCGACCGTTGGCTGTTATGGCGGCCCACACCATCACCCTGGCCGGCGCTTGAGTCCTGGTGGCCAAGTAAACACGATCATTTTGTTTGTCTACAAACTGCTGGACAACGAATGTTTTCTCATCGGAGACGGAGAAACCCAAATTCGGCATATCGCCACTTTTGGCCGAGCGAAGCAACTCTTTAACTCTTTTGAGTCTATTTTCTTTCTGTTGCGGTGTAAGTTCTTGCACTTTTTGGAATTTCAATGGCATTACCCCGAGCACATTTTTCCATATTTGCCGAATGGAATATTGCGATATGTTCAGCTCACGAGCCATTTTCCGCCCACTGCGACGTGGGTTTCGCTCAAGTCGCTTTTTTTACTTTTCGAACAATTTCTGCTGATGTTGGTGTTTTTCTCCGTCCACTTCCTTGACGTCGGGCTATGCTACCAGTATCACGGTAACGAGCGATGGTACGAGACACAGAAGATTTATTCACATTTAAACTTTGGAGTGCTCTAACTATTGACACTTGTGGTTTTCCACCCAAATATAAAGAAATCACACTATCATGCAAGAATTCCACCACTAATAACTTATTTTCTGTAAAATTCTCAACGAAATACTTTCGTACGCTTGTAAAAAATATAATGAGCGGTTAGTGGAATAATTTTGACAGCTGTCGGACGAGTGGCTTAGAAATGACAGCAGTATATCGGGTGATACAGTTAAGTACCAATGATTCTTAATGTGAAAATAGCGCTTATTCGGTCACAAATTTAGCTAGAATCTTAAAAATAGTGAAAATTTGGTGTCTGATCTGATTGTCTCCGTTACTTAACATAAAGTCTAGCCTTTTTGAGAGCCTTCTGTTGTATTTTGTGCTCTTCCACATTTTAAGGTGTGAGTCACAAAATATACTAATAGCTAAATCTTCTTCAATGTCTACTGTTATCTCGTGTCACACCTTTATATTTCGGTAAATATGCTGTGCCTTTTGTTTGGCGTTTAGTAGATAAACGGTGTTCTCCTATACCATAGCTGGGTTAATTTGGGGTTTTTACTTATATTTCTTGTTTAGGGAGAACCCCCTGGAGTCAGTTTCATCCGCTAGGAATGCTTTCTTCAAAAACATAATCAAAACACACCAACAAGACTGAGCAGAAATCCAAAGAAATTCCCCAACATTAACATTCACCCCTCGTTGTAATTTTATATTTCATTCATTGGACCATGGTGAGGACATAACATTGATCAAAGGTGGAGCATGAAACCATGAAAAACAAAACCATCTCTCTTTTCTTTCTTTTATTCTCTGTTCCGGTTTCTTTTGTGATTTACTCGCACAACTTCGTTCAGAGGGCCAAGAAAAAAAGCATCAATGCATGCATTCCGTTGTATTGTCTTCGGTGAGCAGCTAACGAGTGACTTTGTCTGTCTGTCTGTCTCCGTTCGAATCTGTGCATTTGTCTAATCTAATTTAAGGGAAAATCTTTGTTTTACTACGGCAACCATAAAAGGGAACTCCTATCGAGCAGGTAACAAATAATTCAGCAGAAGTCCTTTGACTCTCCTTTCATCCTAGTCATCCTTTGCCGCTGCGAGAGAGTCTTTCTTTGTACAATATTCAGTCAACTCCTACTTCTTCGAATGAAATGATTTTTTTGTTCTCCCTTGGGAATATTTCTGTGTTTTTTCATTTCATTTTTTCCAGTTTGGTGATTTTGATTACCTGCACGCTCGCTCGCTCGCACACCATCATCAACACCAACCAACAGGTATGACTGGCCGGTTGGGCTTCCCTTCCCTGTAAATGGGAGATTTGTGTTAATTTTTTTTTAAAATGTAAATTATGTTTATGTTCTTCTTGTTGTTGGAATGTTTCAATTTTCAATTCTAGAACTGAACCATCTGTATTCGAGTAATGTTGGTTCTCTTTTTAATGACATTATGGCCTTGCATACTGATGCGGGGCTTCGATGGTATTTTTATCCCTTTGCCAGAAATACTAGCACCACCACCAGCTAGGGATAATCACATTAATGTAAATTTAAAATACATTTTAACCCATTTTAAAGTCTGTAAAGTATTCAAGGGACAGACACACAAATCACACCGCATAAATTTGTTCTTGTCCCTTCGGTACGTGATTAAGATTGTGACAAATGCCCGAAATGCCGGTAAAGGAATTTCGAAAATGTGGAAAAAGAAGATTACTTTAAGTAATACCAACATTTTTATACCGTCCATAGTATTATTTATTCGGGACGTATAAAAACTGGCACCTGGAAATATACAATTTAGACCCCACAAAGTATATATATATATATTCTTGATCGATTTTGGCTCTAGGCTCCTTTGTTCATTTGCGAAGAAGCCAGCCAATGACTTAAGCCAGACAAATAAGCGCTTTATGTATTCCCATCTTTAGCCCTGTCCGTCTTGTGTATTGTATATTCTTGATCAGCATAAGATCTATGTCGATTTAACGATGACCGTCCGTCTGTCTGTCGTCCCTCCGTCTATGGAAATCATTCTGGCTTCCGAACGAATTAAAGTAGGTTGATAAAATTTTATGAGTTAAAATTTTATGATAAAATTATATGAGTTTGGTCTGCAGGACTTTTGGTATTGAAAATGGGCTATATAGGTCTACGTTTAGGTATAGCCTCCATTTAACTGTACCTTCCTATACTCGGAATTTTGATGTTTTTGGCGACATTCTTTACCGGAATTGTTTCAAACATCGTTATGATAGTTCTTAATGGATACTACAGCATATGACAGAAAATTGGCTATGCCGGTTCACGTCTCCCTATAGCCTCCATATAATGGTACCTCCTATTTTTCGGTATTTTGATAACTTTGACGACATCATACCCAATTATTTCAAATTTTGTATTTGAAGTTTGAAATGGGTACCACAGCCTATACCTAAAAATTTTGTATGCAAGTCCATGTCTTCGCATAGCCCCCATATAACGATAACTTTCGATATTCGGTATTTTCGTGGTTTTTGCGACATTATTCACCGGAATTGTTTCATATTTCGTGTTTGGGTTTCTTAATAGGTACTACAGCCTGTGACAGAAAAATGTCTATGTAGGGCCAGGTCTTCGTAGGGCCCCTAAATATCGGTACCTCCAGTTATTCGGTATTTTGATGATTTTTCGTATTTAAAGTTCCTAATGATAACTAAAGCCTGTGACAAAAAATTGTCTAAGTAGGTCTTCGTATAGCCCCTAAATATCAGTGCCTCCCGAAATTCAGTATTTTGATGACTTTAGCTACATTATTCACGGGAATTTTTAAAATTTCGTATTTACACTTCATAATGGGTACTATATTTTCAAATTCTTTCCAAATGGTGGAGGATATTCAACGTTCGGCCAGTTCGAACTCAATGCTTTTTGACTTGCTTAACTTCCAATATTCTACAGTTTATGATATTTTTGATATTTTACAATTGAGTTACTTAAAATTAAGTAAAGTCATGCAATCAAATGTTTCAAATTTATTCAATATTTTTCATTTAACATCTCATTTAGTGAAGGGATAGAGATAAAGTTCTGAATTTTGATATTTAGATAATTGGTGGTATCTGTTTTTGAGATTTGGCTGTGGTTTGACATTGCGTCCTAGAGTTGTACGAAAAATACAAAGTAGCTTTTAATTATTTTTGTACAAATTTTTATTGGCTGAAGGGATAAGGCTGGTATCGACAAATTTGAAATTGAGGTCTCTCTTGGTATTTGGAGTTGTGAAATACGTACCATAATTGTACGAAAAGTACTAATTAGTACTAAATTTTATATCAAATAAAGGAATATAGTTTAAATCCTGAAATTTGATGTAGATGTAATTGTTGGTGTTTGTGTTAAAAATATGGAGGAGGTTTTGAAAAGTGTTGTATATGTACTTTTCCGAAAAGTACTAAATGACACTTAATTTGGCATTGGGCGAAGGGGAAGGGAAACTTGGAATCCTCAAATTTGATATTGAAGTCTCAGTTGGCATCTAGAATTGAGATATGCAGGGAGTTTTGGAAATGTGTACTATAATTGTACGAAAAGTACTAAATTGGGTATTGGATAAAGGAAAAGCGCTGAAATCGTAAAATTTGATATGGAGGTCACTGTTGGTATTTGTTGTTGAGAGAAGAAGCTAGTTTTGGATATGCGTACCATAATTTACTAATTGGTACTAAATTTGGTAATTTGGCAGAGTGGAAATTCCCAAAATTTAATATTAAGATCGCTGTTGGTATCTGAGGTTGAGATATAGAAATTATCTTGCAAATGCGTACTACAATTGCTCAAAAATAACTAAATGTTACTAAATTCGGTATTGGGTGAATGGATAGGGCTGAAATCCTGAAATTTCATATGGATGTCACTGTTGGTGTTACGAAGAGGTAATACATTTAAAATTGGGTATTACGATAGAGCTGGAATTTTAAAATTTGTTATTGTGGTCTATGTTGGTATCTGGTGGTGAAGTACTAAATGGTACTAATTTTGGACCACTGTTGGTTTCTAAGATGGAGAGATGTAGCTTATTTTTAATAAGCCCACTAAATATTACTAAATTTGGTATTGAGTGAAGGGATAGAGGTGAAATTTGATATTGAGGGTTAGGGTTTACATATGGAGCCGCTGATATGGTTTTGGACAGAAAAATTGGATGTGAGTTTATATGTGCAATGATTTTACTAATATCCTCCTCGATTGACTTCAAATTGAAAGAATTTGAATAATTTTTGGCATAAAAGGTAAAGATTCTTAGAAGTTAGATTGACCTATTTGGGCAGCCCCAAAATATGTAATATCCAAATGAAACAGCCTTTTGTTTTTTTTTTTCTCAATCATAAAAATACAATTTTATTTAAACAACAAAATTTGTTAAGTTTTATCTTTTTTAACTACATAATTTCTAATTTGTATTTATACGTTTGTATTTAGTAAGCATTCAATTTTATCAACTTAAAATTTGTGTATGTGTGTGTGTGTGTTGCAAGTGTTTTCATTTCATATGGATGCATTTTAGTTTAGAATTTCTGTTTTTGAGGAAAGCCTTAACAAATCTCCAGGCTATTGAGTATCTATTTTGTTTTTTGTCTTTTCATTGTAAAATTAGTTTTTGTTTAAAATGTTAAGTTTTTTTTAAGTTTCAAATCACAACTCCTCGAATAGCTAAAATCAAAAAAAGGATGTGCTTTATTTTTGTAATTGCATTTAGTTTCATCTAATAAATTTCGATTATTTTTCAAATTCAATAAAAACTTGAGCCATTTAATTTGTGTAGTGGGGTGTTTTGCTTGCTGCTGTAGTCTTAACTTACAAAATCCAATTTCAAATAACTACTTAGAACATAAAACTACGGCTAAATAACGTTTGAAGAAATACTTTTGTTTTTCTGGGAACAGTTCAGTTGAAATGTAACATAAATATATAAATTGTATAGTTTTGAGTATTGTATAGAGTGTAGAGTTTCTAGAAGATACTTTGATATTCAGTTTTGTGTTTTGACCAATTAATTTGCCAGCAAAATACTACAATTACGCTTAAGAACATAAGTTGCAAAATTAAAACCATTCTACAAATCGATTCCAAAAATTAATTATTTGTAAATTTAATATAACTCTAAATATTTTTTAGAAAAAAATATCATAAACCCATTCCAAGTGGGTTCTGCTAAGCTGTGCTGTTACCTATCAAAAATAAACCTAAGTGTCAATAACACGTCTGTGCCTCTTTTAAAGAGGGAAATTCTTAATTTTGGCAAACAATTTTATGTTAATGGCTGTTAGTTTGGTTATTTGGTTTTTAAACTTAAATTCATTATTCATATTTGTTATGACGGATATTAGGGTGTTTCGAAAATATTGAAAAAATTTTAATATCTAAATAAAACAAGTTAAAAAGTATCGTTCGGTTTTGCCGATAGATATATACCCTCATCCAATATTCGACTATTTAAATATAATTTAACAGAAATCAAACTGTTGACCCTCTATGCAGTAGATTCCGAAGGAATGGTTCGATATTGTCCATTTCGTATCGGATCTAAACCAATATGATATAAACATTGCAAAGTAGCAGGTTCGGACTATATCGTATACTTCCTTCACTTTATATTGAGATATCCCCCCCCCCTCTTTTGAGGGGGATGTACCAGAAAGAGGGGCCGATATTGTGCATCTCTGATTTCGATCTAAGTGTAATAATAATATTGCGATGTACCAAGTTTTAATCAAATCGGCTTCTGCCTTCGAGAGTTATCGAGGCCACAATCCAGACAGACAGACGGATGGACGGATATCGCTAGATCGACTCCAAATATCCTAGAACGGATTTGGTCCAAAGAGACCTAGGGTCTAAAACCGTTATTTCGATGAGGCACGTTTTGGCCGTATCAAATGACATATACCCTGTCTAGCCATATGTCTGAGGGTATAAAACGAACTGCTTTGCCCATAATGTACGGGAACTATAAACTAGTAAAAATGTCAAGATTGGATATCAATCCTTCAAAATCAATATATCAGCCAGTCAGAAGCTGGCTGGCTGGTAACAGTGTTGTACTTTCACGCATATGTCACGATTTAAGTTTTAACCTCGGCTCTTCCAGCCGAGGATGCACCACCACAGTTTACGATTGGTGATTTTGCGAATGTCATCCGAAACGCTAAGTCATCTAAAGCGTTGGGCCCGGACGGAATATCAATGGGAATGTTGAAGCAACTGGAGTTGAGTATCTAAACAAAGTCCTTAACTTGTCGTTAGCCACCCACATAGTTCCCGAAGCCTGGAAAATGGTTAGGGCGGTCCCGCTACTGAAGCCAGACAAGGATGCTAGCAAAGGCGGATCATACTGGCGAATTTCGCTTTTGTCGCCAGTAGCAAACACTCTCGAGGCCTTACTCCTCCCCAGAATCAGAGGAAGCTATTCAGTTTCTAACCATCAACACGCTTTCCGTCCTCTACATAGTATCACAACAGAATTGCACGTCATATCCACACATACCAGTCGAGGACTTAACCAAAACAGGTCGTGACATAGAACAGTAGTGGTGGCTCTTAATGTATCAAAGGCCTTTGATACGGTAAACTATGCCACGCTGTTCGAGGACGTTGAGAGTACTACCCTCCAGCCAAGTTTGAAACGTTGGGTAGTCAATTATATGTGTGGACGCCAGTCGTACGTGAAATTCCGGAACAAGAAGTCTAAGCTCCGTAGAGTGAAACGGGAAATTCTCCAAGGTGGGGTGATATCTCCGGAACTGTTTAACCTCCACCTTTCCGGTATTCCGCTCCCTCCAGACGCATGGAAATCGTAACATATGCGGATGACTGTACGATCATGGCGTCGGGTTCTGTAGTTGATGACATATGTGTCAGGGTGAAACGTTATCTCGCGGAACTTGCCGCCTTGTTCCATGAGAGGAATATGAAAATATCCGCCACTAAATCAACGGCCACACTATTTACCACATGGATTGTGAATGTGCAAGTCGACGGGCACAAAATTCCGACCACTAACTACCCAAAATCCTTGGGGTCACATTCGATAGCATGCACAAGTCTTCCGCGTAAGCCACAGCTATCTGCGATAAACTGAAAGGTAGGAACAAGGTCCTCAAGCGTTAGCCGGCACCACTTGGGGTGCGGATAATTAAACCTTGTTGACCTCTTATAAAGCTATAGGTCGGTCTGTAGACATCGATGAAGAACCGGATTAATCAGTCTATAAACGATGGATCACGTAATCACTGCTAAAACAACAACAACCAATATTTCTAATTTTCGCTTACCCCATGACAGTTCCGTCAGACATGTCTTAGTGGTTCCTTAATGTTTACTATTATGTTCGTGCTTTCATCTCTTATCCATGATCTGTCATCTTGGTTATAATTTTGACTGATGTCTATAGGATTGTCGATTATAGGAGCCTAGTTTGGAATTAAAGTGGACTTTTCCAAATGAACCGATCAACTTAAAACCCATCTTTCCACCTGGGCGAAGAGCATTGTTTTGTGTGTTGATTGAAATTTGAATTAATTTTGAGTTTGAAAATGGATTTACCCATTTTGTCTGTTTATGCGAATTCATAGGAGGTGGATGAGTTCAATTCCCAAATAATTTTGAATTTTTAACTTTTAACTCATGTTAAGTGTGGTAAGTAATTCTCATCCTAATTCATCAAATTAATCCTGAGAATCTGGGAATCCTGGTTAAGGAAATGCTGCAATAAATGTTTCTCCATTTAAGGGAATATTTGATTTCTGATTTAAATTTTACAAACAATTTCTAACGTTCTCATCGATTTCCGTGCCATTTCAGAGGATCCAATCAATATTTTTTTTTATAAATACTAATTTCGAAACACCCTAACGTTCATGTATTTTGTTGCTCTACTCTATTGTGTGGCTATGGCAATTTGTTGATTTATGAATTTGTTTTAATTGTTGTTTTCTAATAACTTCAATTAGGTTCAATGTATTTTTGCTTAATCTTCATCAAATTCATATTCACAATTTCTTTTTCTCTTCAAATAATCAATCATACTTAGCTAATATAATATATAAATATATATATGTATATATGCATATTTTTTTATTTATATTTACATATACAAAGGGTCCTTCTTCCAATCCGTTCTATCGCTTTTGTTTCTTTTTTCTGGGAAGTTTGTTAAAAGCTAAAAAATACTGTAAATTTTATTTATTTATTTATAATTTAATTTTGGATGTCTTTGAGAGTTGCTCTTGGGTTGTTTTTATTTTCATTAAATTTTAATAAATTCATTGGACGTAAAATGTATGTAAAATATTTGTGTTTTTTTGTTTGTTTTTAATTTGCAATTTTTTCTCTAATTTTGGTTTTCTAATTCTTAATTGGCATTTATATCTTCACAGTGATGATGCGTCTTTTGCTGGTGATTTTGTTCGTGCTGCAGATGCTGTGTATCGCTGTTTCCCGCCAGCAGTTGGGTCCAGTTGGCGTTGATCTTCACGGCTTCGAGATCTTTGCGCAGCTGTTGTAGCTCAGGATTTTCACTGATTAATTGAGGCGAACTGGTGTCCAACAGCTTGGAAATATTCTCCAATTGATTGGCATAGATGCGCAGGCGTTCGTTTAGGCTGTCATTGCTAAGATTTTGATTTGTTAGCTGCACAAGGAAAATCGGAAAAGAAAGACAAAAAAATGGATTTGTAGGAAAAATTGACAAATTTTTAATTTTCGAAACATAGAAGAGCTTCGACATACATTGAGGAGCTTCGACAGCTTCTATACGTAGAAGAGCTTTACCAACTCTTCTATTGATAGAAGAGCTTTGACAGCCCTTCTATTGATTCAACAGCTTTAGCAAATCTTCTATGGATAGAAGAGCTTCAGCAGCTCTTCTATGGATAGTAGAGCTTCAACAGTCTTCTATGGATACAAGAGCTGTAACAGTTCTTCTATACACAGAACAGCTTCAACATCTCTTCTATACACATAGAAGAGCTTTAACAGCTCTTCTACACATAGAAGAGCTTCAAAGGCTCTTCTGTACATAGAAGAGCTTCAACAGATCTTCTGTACATAGAAGAGCTTCAACAGCTCTTGTGTACATAGAAGAGCTTCAAAAACTCTTCTGTGCATAGAAGAGCTTCAACAGCTCTTCTATACGTAGAAGAGCTTCAACAGCTCTTCTGTACATAGAAGAGCTTTAACAGCTCTTCTGTACATAGAAGAGCTTCAACAACTCTTCTGTGCATAGAAGAGCTTTAACAGCTCATCTATGGATAGAAGAGCTTCAACAGCTCTGATTTTCATGGTTGATACAAAGAAGAGCTTTAACAGCTCTTTTATGGATAGAAAAGCTACAACAGCTCTTTTATGGATAGAAAAGCTACAACAGCTCTTCAATCGAAAGAAGAGCTTCAACAGCTCTTCTATGGATAGAAGAGCTTTAACAGCTCTTCTATGGATAGAAGAGCTTTAACAGCTCTTCTATGAATAGAAGAGCTTCAACAGCTTTTTTATGGATAGAAGAGCTTCAACAGCTCTTCTATGGATAGAAGAGCTTTAACAGCTCTTCTATGAATAGAAGAGCTTCAACAGCTTTTTTATCGATAGAAGAGCTTCAACAGCTCTTCTATGGATAGAAGAGCTTCAACAGCTCTTCTATGGCTAGAAGAACTTTAACAGCTCTTCTATGGCTAGAATAGCTTTAACAGCTCTTCTTTGTCTAGAAAAGCTTTTACAGCTCGTCTATGAATAGAAGAGCTTCAACAGCTCTTCTATGGATAGGAGAGCTTTAACAGCTCTTCTATGGATAGAAGAACTTTAGCAGCTCATCTATGGATAGAGGGGATTTAGCATCTCATCTATGGATAGAGGAGATTTAGCATCTCATCTATGAATAGAAAAGCTTTAGCAGCTCTTCTATGGCTAAAAGAGCTTTAACAGCTCTTTTATGGATAGAAGAGCTTCAAGAGGTATTCTGGATAGAAGTGCTTAGCAGCTCTTCTATGGATGGAAGAGCTTGAGCTGCTCTTCTATGAGTTAGCTCCTCTAAGGATTGGAAAGCTTCACTAGAAGCTCTGGTGAAGATCTTCTGTTTGTAGTAGACTATTTTTGTAGCAGATGACTATCCTTACAAGATCTGCCTAAGGTCTTTTAACAATAAAACCCCGTGGAGACCTCTAAAAATTATCCGTCTTTTTTTAACCTTAAAATATTTCAATATTGATACTCACATTTATTTGCAGAATATTTCGCATAAACTGCTGAACTCGATTATCCTTCAACTGCCCATCAGATTGCCACATTTTCAGAAGATTTAAAATTCCGCCAATATCATCCTGATTATCGACAATTTCACTACTCAAATTCAGATTCAAACCCGAAAATGGTGGCATTTCCGTGCTCGGCGATAGCTTGCGATAGTTTATGCACAGCGTGCTCAGATTGCAAATATCCTCGGTTAGACGCTGCATTTTATTATTTGGATGGTTTATTTGGTTTTTAATAAAATTTTGCATTTCATTTGGATGGGTAAATTCAAATTTCAATTTTTGTTTTGGATGGTGATAATTATTTTTTTTTTTAGATTTAATTACAGGTATTGCTGCAGAAGTATTAACTCTAGTCAAGTAGTTGAACTACGATCATATGTAAAGTCTTTTAAGTTTTTGATTTTCTTAAGTGGTTATGGTTATGATGATGAAGAGGGGGTTTCACTGGTTGCTTTCTTATTTATTTAATGAGAAAAATGGTTTCTTCGTCTATTTATGGGCGATTTGTTGGTTAGGTTGTGAAGGTGTTTCGGTTATTTGGAGGTGATGTAAGAAAAAAAAACAAATATTCAAAACAAATAAAAAACGTTATGGTTATTGGTGGACCAAACCAAATCGAAAAGAGATCGTATAAAAGTGTGTTTGATGCATGGCGCCCAAATTGAAGCGGGGGTTTGGTGAAGATGATAATGGTGATGGTTATGATGATGGTGGTGGTGTTGGTGATATGATTTTCGTGGTTGATGATTAATTATTGATTTTTATGGTTAGTTTGTATGTCGGATGCCGTTGATGGTGGTGTTGGAGTTGGTGGTGGCCATTAGTTTTGTTTATTATTACGGATGGTTATTCAGAAAAAAAGAAGAAATTCAAAAAATTAATGTGGTTCAAGTTGGTGTAGGTTCGTTCATTCGATTCACAGTTGGCAAAATGCAAACATTCCATGGAGTCATTTTAATGTGGACGATGATTGTTGGTGATGATGATGATGGTGATAATGATGACGGATAATGACGATGATGATTTTTGTTATGAATATGAAGAGGAATATTTTTGTAATGTTGAATTATTTGTTGCTTCTCTTCGTTAAATGCTGTTGTAATGCTGTCTTAACTAGCTTGACTTTCAACTACTGCGTTATAAAGTTTTTTACTAATTTTAGCTGGCAATGTGAATGGATACAAAACATCAAGGATACGGTACAAATAACAGGGATAATTTAAATTGTGCTACTCAAAAAATTGAATATAAAACATGCGAAAATGAAAGGTAATAAAAATCAAAATACAAAAATAACAAGTAAAAAAGCTGTAAGTTCGGCCGGGCCGAACTTTGAATTTTGAAAAAAAAAAAAAAATAAAATCCGTTAAAAATTCTGATAAATTCTTAAAAATAACGAAGGTAGGTGGACCTGCACGGATAATTTTTTGTCATTGGTATCCATTACGAACTACAAATACCAAATTTGGAACAATTCAGGTTAATAGTGTCGCTAAAATCATCAAATACCGAATATCGGGAGGTACCATTATATGGGGGCTATACCAAAACGTGGACCTGCACTGACAATTTTCTGTCTTAGGCTGTAGTATTCTTTACGAACTTCAAATACCAAATTTGAAACAATTCCGGTGAATAATGTCGCTAAAATCATCAAAGTACCAAATATCGGGAGGTACCGCTATATGGGGGCTCTAGGAAGACGTAGACCTGCACATACAATTTTCTGTCTTTGGCTGTAGTATCCCTTATGAACTTCAAATACCGAATTTGGAACAATTCCAGTGAATAATTCTACTAAAATCATCAAAATACCGAATATTGGGAGGTATTGTTATATAGGGGCTATACGAAGACGTGGACCTGCACAAACAATTTTCTGTCTTAGGCTGTAGTATCCATTGCGAATTTCAAATACCAAATTTAAAACATTTTCGATAAATATTGTCGCTTAAATCACCAAAATGCGGAGATAGGGAGGTACCATTATATGGGGGCTATACCAAAAAGTGGACCTACATGGCCCATTTTCAATAACAAAAGTCCCTCAGACATAATATACATTTGAGTAAAATTTTATCAACCAACTTCATATCGTTCGGAAGCTACAGTGATTTCCACAGACGGATAGACGGACGGACATCGCTAAATATACGACATAGAATTTTAAACTGATTAATACTATATATGCTTTGTGGGGTCTAAAATGTATGTTTCGAGGTGTTACAAGCGGAATGACAAACTTAATATACCCTCCATACTATGGTGGAGGGTATAAAAAGGATGAAGTGAAAACATTAAGTTCGTGCGAACTTAAAATACCCTCTACCGCGAGGAAGAGAATTTGACCCTTAGGAAGTAAAAGTACTTTAATTCCGGTTGAACCATCAAGTAGAGATTCACAAGTCGACTTTTGATCAATCGATTGATCATTTTTAAAATCGCTTCAGATATATATTTATAGCTCCTATATATATGTTTCATCTGATTTGGTGTCAAAGTCCCTCACGTTTGTAACATGCACTTTACAACAATGATATTTGGTACCATATACAGCCCAGAAATACTTATATTAAATTGTAACAAGGTCCCTTCAGATTTGGATAAAGCTCTCATATATATCTTTGTTCGAATTCAGGCTAGAAGCAAGTACTTCAAATTTATTGATAATCGATTCAGATACAGCTATAGCTCCCACATATATGTTTGATCCGGTTTGGTATTCAAGTCCCTACTTTCGTCATATGCATTCTACATCAAGCCCAATCTGAGGCTCAAAAAGACCTCTGCGAGATTTTTTCGAGATCGGTTCAGATTTCATTCTCACTTATTGGGCACCAAATCTGTAATATGAGCTCAAATTGGATGGATTTTTACACATTTAATCAAATTTCTCCATATGGTGAAACTTGGTTCCCAAATATCTATTGCTCCGAAGTCATATTTTGCCTCCGTCAAATTCGGTGGGAATCGATTCAAAGTTGGATGTATCTCCCATATTTTAGTTCTTTTCATTTCAAATTATAAATGCTCTAAAGGCATTCGAAAATGGTCTACTTCACATAAATTCCCAAAATAAGCGTTTATTCGTTACGGAAAGCTCTACTAAATATGCATAGTGGTGTAGGGTATCATATAGTCGGCCCCGCCCGACTTTTAACATTTCTTTAATATTTTTTTTTTAATTTGTCGCAAACAGAACATAAAATATGCAAACATGACTATCCTCCAAATGTGAATATAAAACAACTAAAAATATTCAAAGACATTAAAAACTCAATCCAAAGATCAAAATCAAGGAAATTAAAAGACATCAAATTAAGAAGAAATTATTGATTTTTTTATTTCCAAAAAAGAAAGAAGTATTGGTATTTTGTTTTTTTTGTTTTTAATTATATATATATGTCTGTATGTGCATAAATATAAATAAAGTATGTATATATATATAAATATAATAATATACAAAAATATAAACGCAAATATAAAATTCATTAAGGAAACGGAAAATAAGAATTGATAAAGAATTGAAATTTGCTGGCTTACTAACTAAAGGAAATGATAAGTGTCGTCGTGTGTATCGGAAATATGTTGTGTGTATAATTTAAATGTATAACATAAGAGTATATGTATGTAGAAAGGTGTAAAAGTCTTATACGAAAACAAAAAAGTGATGTTTTAACTGAATTGAGACCAAACTATTAAAGAATTCTTTTTTCGATGGAAAAAATAATCATTGTTTAGTTTTTTTTGTACAGTGGATAGAAATTTAAAGGTTAATACAAATGATAAAGGTCAATACAAAGTAATGCTATACGACTCCAAAATTGAGAGAATTGTTCAATTATTCCGAAACCAAAGCCAAAAACTCAAAGTGTTGTTAAACGGAAATCTTAATTCATGGGAAGGTTACTTATTTTTTCTTTATAATCAAAAATATGCATTCAAATTTCCACAAACTATTCTAGAGTAAATTTAATTGTATTATTTCATGAAATTCTTGTTATTCTGAACCGCAAATATTTAAAAATATTACTACGTTAACATATTTTTTATGATATCGAAAAATTGGAAAAATATTCAATTCTTGCAGGTTCTGGAACAGATCAACAGCAAGTAATAATAAGTAAACAAACATTAAGTTCGGCCGGACCCAACTTTTAATACCAACCACCTTAGGGTAAAGGAAATATTTTTATATAAAACTATCTGAATTCCACTGAGTTCCACTTTAAACTTCATATACCAGTAAGATCGTTTGGATAAAGCAGTTAAACTATCAAAAAACCATAAAGTGGGTGAGACCTTTATATGGAGGCCACACGAGCTAGAACCCATAACGAACTATAGGTACCAATTTTTAGACAAATTCATGGAAAAATGTGGCCAACATCATCAACATACCGAATATCGAGAGGTACCATTTTTAGACAAATCCGTGAAAAAATAATGTGTCAAAAATCATCAAAATACCGAATATCGGGAGGTACAGTTATATGGGGGCTATAACAAAAAAGTGGACCTATACATATAATGTTCCGCCACCAGTGTAAGAACCCAATACGAGCTACAAGTACCAATTTTTAGACAAATCCGTGAAAAAATGTGCCAAAAATCACCACAATAACGATTATCGGGAGGTACTACCAAAACGTGGACCTATACATAGAAAGTTTCGCCTTACGAGCAAGAACCCATTATGGCCTACAAATAATAATTTTCAGACAAATTCGTTTAAAAAATGTGGCAATAATCATTAAAATACCGAATATCGGGAGGTATTATTATATGGGGTCTATACAAAAAAGTAGACCTATACATTCAATGTTCCGCCACCACAAACTACAAGTACCAATTTTTAAACAAATCCATGAAAAAATGTGGCAACAATTATCCAAATACCGAATATAGGGAGGTACCGTTATGTGGGAACTATATCAAAACGTGGACCGATATATCTAGACACAATACAAATTCTTGTGCCAAATTTTGAAGCTCTACGTCAGATAATGTGAGCTGTATCGTGATTTCAACAGACAGACAGACGGACATTTTTAAATCGACTTGGAATTTTAAGCTTATTATGAATATATATACTTTTATTATATAATATATAATATTTATGGATGTTACAAACGGAATGACAAATGACCTTTCCAAGGTAGAGGGTATAAAAAGAGAAGAGTTTCATGCAATAGTTCACTTAACGTTATTCTAGAAGAGTTTGTGGGAATTTTGATTTTTTTTAGGACAAGAAAAGTGAAAGTGCCTTTGTTTGTTTAATTAATTTCGATAATTTTAAATTCTTTCGAAAATATTTTGGAGTAGGTTTTTAATTTAATTTTTAATTTTTTAAAATCTGTTGACAATGAACCCTTCCTTCTTTTTTTCACATTAATTTAGATTTCCTTCATGATAGTTTTACATTTTTTGATTTCGAAGTAAGATATTTATCCTGTTTCCTTCGAATAAACCCTTTGTTAAACAATGAAAATGATTTCCATAAAAAAATTACTTAACTAAACCAAAAAATAATACAAATTCTTACAAAACGAAAAGAAAAAACAATAATTATTATTGTTGTTACAATTATACAAAAATTTATGAAATTGAAAAAAAAAAACAAATATAACAAAAAAAAACACACTTTCTTTTGTGTGTGATGTTCTCTCTTAATAATTATTTTCAAAAACAAAAATTACAAAACATCGTCGATTTAACTTAAAAATTTTTTGCTTGTGTGTTGTGCGGGTATGTTCGTGTTAATGTGTTATTTTTTTCTTATTTGAAAAAAAAAGAAACTTAAAATTAAAACAAAAATACAAACAAGCATTTCTACAAATTATTGAAAAGTTGCATTTTGTTTTGTTCATTCATTGATTGATCTTTTCTAAAATCTTACATCGATCTCATTACGATGACGTTGAATTTCAGCTTTGGTATTGGATAGATCATTGTTCTTCAACATCAATTCCTGGGTGGCATCCATCAGTTCGTCCTGCAGTTTGACATTGACATCTTGTAGATCTTTGATTTTCTCCAGCATGTCTTCTTTGCTTTGTTGTAGTTTATTTCTGAAATGGAAAGGATGAAAATATTATATTTTGAAAATTCAAAATTGAAAATTCTCCACTCACTTATCCACAATCAATTGCTGTATGCAATTGTCATTGTCCAATTGTATGAGGCGCAGGACCTTCAACAATTTCGTTATTAAATTATCCACTTCAATCACTTGATCGACCACAGCCTGGGTAGCTGAATATTCAACCAATGAAGGCATTTCGGCAACGGAATCATGGCAACTAAGTTCTTCGGTGCAACTGTTATCACTGCAAGAAGGGGGAGAGGGAGGGAATTAATTTCAAATTCTGTTAGTTCTAGCTGTTCCAAAATCATGTACTTACTTAAGCTGCAGGTTCATTTTATTACTACCGCTCAGAGCACTGACTTGTGACTCCATATTCTGGCGATTGACAATGGCCTGCGACAAATTGTGCAGCGAATCATCGCCGGTGGTGCTAATGTTCATCAATTCCGAGGGTATATCGATTTGTGATATCATGCCCGTACAAGAGGAAACCATATTGTGTGAATGTGAGTCGGGCATATTGACATCCTCCAGCACATTGTCCATCATTAGGCAGGGTTCCGTTTCGGAATCCAACATTTCTGTGGAATCTGAATCGTCTGGAAAAAAAGAGAAGTGAAAATTGTTTATATATTGCGGCGACATATTTTAAAGGGAGATTTCTAACTGATTAATTTAGCAACGTCAAAGGAAAAAGGTCTGTAGGTTCGTATCATTTTTTTGGCCAAAATCAAAAATTGGTCTTTGCCAATTAGGACCAGATTTCTGTATTTTGCCTTTCAGGATGGTAGATCTAAGCCTCAGGATCTTAAATTCCTTCGATTCTTCCGTTTCTCTAGGTTTTTCTACCCTCAGCCATATGGCTACAGATTGTATACAGGGTCAAATGAAGAGAACTGCAACCAACTTTAGACTGCTGTCATCTCTAAGCCACTCGTCCGACAGCTGTTAAAATTATTCTAGAGACAGTTCATTATATTGTTTACAAGCGTAAAAAAGCATTTTGGTGAGAATTTTCCAGAAAAAAGTTATTCGTGATGGAATCCAAGCGTGATTGTGTGATCTCTTTGTATTTGGCTGGAAAACCACAAGTGGCTATCGTTAGAGCACTCCAGCATTTAAATGTGAATAAATTTTTTGTGTCTCACACCATCGCTCGTTACCGTCAAGAAAGTGGACGGAAGGAAACAGCAACATCAGCAGAAATGGTTCGAAAAGTAAAGAAGCGGCTTGATCGAAACCCGCGTTGCAGTGCCCGAAAAATGGCTCGTGAGCTAAACATATCGCAATATTCCATTCGGCAAATATTTAAAAATGAGCTCGGGGTAAAACCATTGAAATTCCAAAAAGTATAAGAACTTGCCCCGCAACAGAAAGAAAATAGACTCAAAAGAGCTAAAGAGTTGCTTCGCTTGGCCGAATGTGGTTAACTGCCGAATTTAATTTTCTCTTTCTCCGATGAGAAAACATTCGTTGTCCAGCAGTTTGTAAACAAAGAAAATGATTGTGTTTACTTGTCAAAGAGGTCACCATCGGTTGGCCACCAGAACTCAAGCGCCGGTCATGGTGATGGTGTGGGCCGCCATAACAGCCGATGGTCGCTCTCCGCTCGTATTAATCGACCGTGGCATCAGCATAAATGCCGAATATTATTGCGAAATTATTCTGGAGGGTGTAGTAAAGCCTTGGGCACGTAAACATTTTGGCCGCAGATCTTGGACATTCCAAGAGAACTCAGCACCATCGCACTCAACACGACTTTTCGCCACCCAAGAATGGTTACTAAATGAGCTTCCTCGCTTCATTTCCAGCGCACAATGACCACCAAAATCTCCGGATACCAATCCGTTGGACTATTGTGTCTGGAGTATTTTGGAAAGCAAGGTTGGCAATAAAAAATACCAAAGTGTGGATCACCTCAAGCTAGCGTTTCGCCGGAATGGGCTAAAATACCGCAGAGCAACATTCGGGCAGCGTGTGACGGTTTCATTGGCCGTTTGAAGGCCATGAATCGTTATCTTATTCTAAAACTTATTCTAAAATTTGATGCTATTTCCGATATTTTTTGCTTTTATTCAATAAAACTGTAAAAATTATGGCGTTTGACTTTGTTGTAGTTTTTTTTATCTCACCCTGTATATTATGTCTGTAGTGCTTTGGTATTGAAAATGGGCCATGTAGGTCCACATTTTGGTATAGCCCTCATATAATTCTTTCCATTTTCGGTATTTTGGTTATTCAAATTTGGTATTTGAAGTTTGTAATGGATACTTCAGCCTGTGACAGAAAATTGTCTGTGCAGGTTCACGCCTTCGTATATCCCCCATATAACTGTACCTCCCGATATTCGGTACTTTGTTGATTTTAGCGACTTTATTCATCGGAATTCTTTCAAATTTGGTATTTGATGTTCGTAGTGGATACTGCAGCCTATGATGTCTGTGCAGGTCCACGTATTCGTATAGCCCCCATATAACGGTACCTCTCGATATTCGGTATTTTGATGATTTTAGTGGCATTATTCACCGAATTTTTTTCAAGTTTCGCATTTGAATATTGTAATGGCTTATGACAAAAGTTTTCTATGCAGGTCCACGTCATCATATATACCCTTATATAACGGCTACATTCGGTATTTTTGAGATTTTAACAGAATTTTTAACGGATTTTATTATTTTTTTATTATTGCCAAATTCCTTCTAAATGGTGGAGGGTATTTAAAGCTCAGAACTTACGGTTTTTACTTGTTTTATATTACCCGAACACACTGTCTACCTAAAATCAACGGATTCCAGTGAAGATTAATCCAAAATTTTTCAAAAGTGCGGAGGAAAGATGAAATTAATAACCCCAACCCCCGTTTAGGTTACTTTGCGATGTAAACTTTCAAAATGCCGATACGCTTGACTTCTTTTTTTAGCTCTTCTTTCATAATCTATTGGATTTTCCCCATAATTTAAAGAAAATAAATTTTGTACCACAGTGTAGTGGGAATTTTCGGATTTCTGGCTGACTCATTTAGCAACGTCAAAGAAATGAGATTAACAAAAAGGGTCTTGAGGATCGTATCATTTTTTGGTCTTGCCCAACTTTGTGTAAGTTAAAAAAATCAAAAAATCGGGTTTTGCGAGTCTGGACCAGACTTCGTTTGAGGATTTAGAATTCTTTAAATTCTCATTACTAAATTCTGCTTATTTTTCATTATGCCCACACTTACCACCATTATGATCGCCATGTGGATGATGCTGTTGCTGTTGGGACTGTTGACTGTTGCTGCTGTTGTTGTTATTATTATGACCATTCATATTGTGATGTGATGACGCTGTACTGTGACGTTTATTTTGTCTCACCAACAGACGTTTACCCGAATGGGTTGTGGCATTTCGTATGGCACTGATGACAGCCGCAATAAAGGATTGATTCCTCTGCGGGGACAAGGAACCATCACTGGCCGAATTCAATTGGAATTGTGAATTGGGTGCTTGTGCAAATTGCAGCGTTTGGGGATGTTGGATGACATCGTGACCGTTGAGCGTTAGTTTCAGAGAACTTGATTCCAAATCCAATGAGGGTTCACCGCTGGCACTCACATTCGTTTGGGCATCGGCTTGGAAGCCAATATCCTGGAAAAGATAACAAAAAATAATTAATTCGAGTATCAATTTGTTTTCAAAAAAAAGTTATGGATTTTTGATACAACCAAGCCAAAGAAATTTGAAATGCTTTCAATTTAATTCACAAATTTTGTTCTCACAAACTACACCAATTGCCGAGTTTCCCATTGGATAGATAGGTATGGTATAATCTAAAAAATGATGTTTACTATATAGTGATTGTTATATGTATGTATGTAGGTGGTAGGTAAATGAGGGCCATGCAAATTTTTTTATTTTGAATACGATTGTTTTTTTTTTTTTTGATTGGCTTTACATCTTCGAATCCGTTCTAATTTCAAGCTTACAAGTAAATTCACTCTTGCGAAAGAAACATTAAACAGAATTAGAAAAAAAAAAACACAGAAAACTTGCCACCCACCCCTCTCAAACTCAATGTGCAATGTCAGTGTAAGACTTGTTCATCTTCACTGCTGCTAAGGTGCTGCAAATATATATTGGGATGGGATATATTTTTAGACAGTTGTTAAGTAAGTTGAGTTAAATGAAATGCAAAAAAGGGATATTGTATCTAATTTTTTATAACCTCTATGGAGGGTATTATAACTTTGGCATTCCGTTCGTAACTCCTAAAAATGCTAATGTTAGGCAATACAAAGTATATATATTCTTAATCAACGTAAAATTCGAAGTCGATTTAGCGGTGCCCTTCTTTCAAATGAATTGAGATGGAAGGCTAAAATTCTGCACACATGTGTATTTTGTCAGTAGGCCGATTAAGTTCGATATTCGGTATTTTGAAGATTTAGACTACCTTTTTTAACGGAATTGCTTAAATTTCGGTTCTGGAGTTTGTAACGGTTTCTAATTACCTCATGTGGCAGATTAAAGTCTATATAGTTCACGTTCTCCTATAGCCCCCCATATAACTGTACATTTCAAAAAAATTAAATCATTTCAATTTTTTAAACCACGGCATTAGAAAAAATATATTTAAAAAAAAAAATACGTCTTTCGATTTTTTTAACGAATGTCCTTCGCATTTCCTAAATTAACGCCCTTTATTTTAATTCACATGCAGTTTAAACCCACAAAGTATGTTTTTTTGGATCAGAATAAAATTCTATGTCGATTTAGACATGTCTGTCCGTCTGTGGAAGTCCCTCTAGGGTTTCTTGCATTTTGATAAAATTTTACTAAGATTTGTTTTAGGTCTACCATTTTTGCTATTTTTTTTTTTTTTTTGGCATTGAAAATGGATTCACGAAATGATCCACGTTTTGGTATAGGTCCCATATAACTGTACCGACAGATTCAAATTGTTTGGGTATTTTAGTCACAATTTCAAACCGAAAACCGGAATTGTTGCAAATTTGGTATATGTAGTTTACAATGGGTACTAGTCTTATGACAGAAAATTGCCTACAGATCCACCTCTTCGTATAGCTTCCATGTAGCAGTGTCTCCCCCTAAATTTGAAATTTTGATATTTTCCAACACCTAAACGAATTCACCTTCTTTGTAAGATTATTGTCTGGAAAAGTCGTATGTGGATGATAATCGGAATTTTTATACCCTCCACCGTAGTATGGAGGGCATATTAAGTTTGTCATTCCGTTTGCAACACCTCGTTTTGGACCCCACACAGCAGCATATCTATGTTGAGTTTACGATGACCGTCCGTCTGAAAAAATCACTCTAGCTTCCGAGCGAATTATTTGCCGGACTTTTGGTATTGAGAATGGGCCACGTTTTGGTATAGCCACCGTATACTGGTACCTCTCCATTTTCGGTATTTTGGTGATTTAGACGACATAATTCACGGGAATTGTTTCAAATTTGGTATTTGAAGTTTGTAATGGATACTACAGCTCATGACAGAAAATTCTCTGTGCAGCTCCACGCTTTTGCAAAGCTCCCATATAACGGTACCTCCCAATTTTCGGTATTTTCATGATTTTAGCGACATTATTCATCGGAATTGTTTGGTATCGGAAAATTTGGTATTTGAAGTACGTAATGGATACTACAGTCTGTGACGGAAAATTGGCTATGCTGGCCCACGTCTTCGTATAGCCCCAATATAACTGTACCTCCCTATATTCGGTATTTTGATGATTTTAGCGACATTATTCACCGGAATTGTTTCAAATTTGGTATTTGAAGTTTCTAATGGACACCACAGCCTATGACAGAAAATTGACAGTGCAGGTCCACGTCTTCGTATAGCACCCATATAACCGTACCTCCCAATATTCGATATATTCATGATTTTAGCGACATTATTCACCGGAAATGTTTAAAATTTGGTATTTGAAGTTCGAAATGCATACTACAGCCTGTGGCAGAAAATTAGCTATGCAGGTTCATCTCTTTGAATAGCCTCCGTATAACTTAACCCTCCTAAATTCGGTATTTTGATGAATTTAGTGGCATTATTCAACGGAATCATTTCAAATTTCGTAATAATAGTTCGTAATGGTCAATGACAGGGAATTGTCTATGTAGGTCCACGTCTTCGTACAGCCCCCATATAATGGTACCTCCTTATATTCGGTATTTTGATGATTTTAGCTACATTATTCACCGGAATTGATTCAAATTCCCTATTTGAAGTTCCTAATAGTTGCTACAATCTATGACAGAAAATTGTCTATGCAGGTCCAGGTATTCGTAAAGCTGACATATAACGGTACCTCCTGATTTTCGGTATTTTGAATCGGTACTACAGCCTGTGACAATTACTCATGCAGATCCACCTCTTCGTATTTTTGAAAATTTTCAAGTTCCTTCCTTTTCATGTTTCGTCTTAAAAATAAAATCCACGTCTTCCGAGAAATAATTTTTTTGAAGTCCATGCCTTTTAAATTATTTAATTTTTAATTCTGTTCTTCAAAAATTATTTTCCTAAAAGTACACCATATGTTAAAAAATAATCCGGAATTTTCCTATTTTCGGGGTTTTTTTTAGAGACCTTCAAAAATATTTTCAAAAAAATTGGAACGTTAGGTCTTTTAAAAAATCGTGTAAAAAAAGATTATGAAAATAAATAAACCAAATATTTATTTTTTTTTTTGGGTTTCTTAAAAAAATTATTTCAGAACATCTATGTCCTTTAGCCTTTAAAAATTCCTATTTGTGTATTTTGTTCAAACTACCATAAATAATCTAAAATTAAAATCCCCTTAAAACACTTCGAGAAATGTGACATCAACAAAAATGGAAAAAAATCACATGTTAAGATTAAAGGATAATTAAAGTATTCGAATCTCATAACAATTCGAATGGGCAACCAACCTCCAAATCCTGTTCGGATATATTATAGGAAAATACTAATTGTTCGACTAAATTATCTAGACGAGCATGTAGACCGGATAAAGCCGCTGTTGCGCCGGAAACGGAAGCATTTTGTTGCATGGCCAGTTCTTTGGACTTGGACTCCATGGCTGCGTATTTGGTTTGGAGCATGCGATTTTCTTGTCTGAAATAAATTACAAAAAAAATAATAAAAATATATTTTCAGTATTAAAATCAGAAACCCACCTTCTTTGCTCATTGAGTCGCACCAAATGACGACACTCATCGCGTAAAACCTTTATCTCTTCATCCTTACTGGCCATCTGTTGTTTGCATTGCTGATATTCATTTTCTAAATCCTTGAGGGCATCACACATGGCCGCCTTTTCATGTTGTAGGAAATCTTGCAGTTCATTCGACTCCTGTTCCAGGGCTGTCTTTTCTTGCAGCAAAAATTCCTGTTGCATTATGGAACGTTCCATTTCGGCTTGGAGGGATCGACACAATTTGCGTAGCTGACCCACTTCCTGTTGGCGTTCCAGTAGCTCATGGCCGCTCAATTGAATTTGCGATTCCAACATAAGCAAGCTATCCTGGTTGTTCTCACCCTCATCTGAGGTGGGCGTACTGACATCTAACATCTTACCATTGCCGGCAACTCGAGCCAAATTTAGAAGGCCCATAACTCTCTCGGTATTCAGATGCAGTTCCCTTTGCATGGCAAGTTTCTCATCACGTTCTCGCTTGAGTTTGGAGCTCAACTCCTGTTCACGTTGTGCAAAATGGCGTACCTCATCTCGGAGTCGTTCCAGTTCTTGATCTCTTATGTCGACTTGACTTCCCTGATGATTTTGTTCAACACTCTCCACCGGGCGTGTTGTGGATGCCACTCCGGCAAAAGCCTTTTCCAAATCTGCACTTGTCAATGCTGTCTGCGAAGCTATTTCATGATAAATTCTGGTCTTACATACTGGCTGTTGAAGTTTCTTGGAGGCCGTCTGCTTGGCCAGGGTCAGGGAAGCCGACATGGATTTATTTTGTGTTGGAGTACTGCTATTGGAATAGGCCGTGGTAGAGAGACTCTTCCTGGAGGTCATAATGACCGAAGATGTCATACGAGATTCACGGGTAATGGAACTGCTTCTTGAATTGCGTCCAGTCAGATCCTCCACCGATTTTTGTTTACGTCTCCGCGGCATGGTACTGTAGGGACTGGAGGCACTTGATTTTATTTCCATACTGGCCATCATGCTGGAACGCATTTTCAGGGAACCCAAATCGGGAGTTACAGACAAACCACGTCTGCTTTGATTGGCACGGGTCGAACCCACTCCGGGCCAACGACCATCATCTGGAGTGCAGGGTGTACGGGCCCTACTCAGAGAGGGTGTACGCTGGATCAAACGCTGCATACTCATCGAGGTAGTACGACTTAACTGGCTGGGTAGAGTGTCGGGTTTTTGAGGCTTTGTTGCTGGAGTAGGTGTGCGTGACTGACCATTGTTGTTGCTGCTGCTGCTGTTGGCGGTTTGACGATAGGGCGTCAAACAACTGGAATTGCTTGTCTTCGATGTGTTGTGGACTTTGTCATTCAGACGATCCCTCATCTGTTGGCTGGTGCCCTGGCTGGGGCGTGGCAAGGAGACGGCTCTTTTCAAACCACTGGAACGGGTTTTCGAGGGAGTTGCGGCATTGGCACTGGGCGAATTTACTGATGCTTCCTTTGGGGCAGATTTCGCCGAACCCTTCATGGACAGACTTTCGTGCATCGACGGCTCAAACATGGCCACTTTCTTCTTGACGTTATTGTGATTAGGCACACGGCGCACTGCCATACTGGTGGGACCAGCCACCGAACTACTCTCACTGCCGTTCTCACTGCAACACTCGTAGCTGTTCAACGAGGAACGGCCATTCACGTTTGTCGTTGCGGTCGTCGTCGTCGTCATTGTGGACGCCACCATGACACCGTGGCCCTGTTTCATTGTGTCGTAGATGTCGGAACTGCAGCTGATCATACTCGAGTTGCAAGACAAATTGACACCGACCGGTTCATCTAGGCCACCCTGGCTGCTGGCATAGCCACCACTTTGGCTGCTCAGAGCCCTCTGTAGAGTGACATTAACATTGCTGGCAATTTCAACGCCACTGTCACTTCCATCGCAATAGTTGTGGTGCGGATTGTTGAGCAGCGAAGCGGCATCAGCATCCACATCGGCGTCCTCATTGTCCACATCGAGGCTGCCATGCAGTTGTAGGCCATTCATTTTATTGCCCAATATATCCTCGTAGATGGCCGCACAGGAATTGTTCAATTTAAGACTTTCATGGCCGTAGTGGCCTAGATCGGAGGATGCGGTTGCATCGCTAAGAAGATGTTTTGAGTCCAGGCTGTGACAATCACGTTCGTCCTGGGTGAAAAGTATGGCAGACATGTTGCGACTGTAGTTGTTGTTGTTGTTGTGTGAATTGTGTTGAGAGAAAAAAAAGTTGGAAGGTTTTTTTCCTTTGGAGGTGCGATCAATTCATACACATTGTTCGGGGGGTGGTTTTGGAGAGTTTTTGATCTGAAAAAAAAAAAAACAGAAAAATTAGAAAATTATTAAATAGAGGATATTTTTAAGGAAGTAATGCCTAAAGACAGATGTTTTTTAAGAATTTAAAATTTCAATTTATTTTATTTAAGGATCGTTCCAAGCAAACATGGATCATTCTCTAATAGTTCCAAACATGTCGGGAAGCACAGGGAGAATTAACATTTTATATAATTCAGGCTAACTTTTTCCCTTTTATTTCCCCAACTCAATCTACAAAAAAAGTTAAAAATCAGCCATGTTCGGCCGGGACGAAATTTTAATACCCTACACCTTTTGGAAGGAACTTTCAAAATCATAAGAAAATTTCGTCGAAACTACAGTTTATATGAAAATCGTTATATGGGGGCTATATCAAGACGAAGACCTGCATACTCAATTTGTATACCCTCCACAATCATACTGAAGGGTATATTAAGTTTGTCATTTCGTTTGTAACAACTCGAAATATACATTTTGGACCCCACAAGGTATATATATTCTAGATCAGCATAAACTTCTATGTCGATTTAGCGATGTCCGTCCGTCATCGTGGAAAGCAATGGGCCATGTAGGTCCACGTCTTGGTACAGCCCTCATATAATGCTACCTCCCTTTCTTCCGCATTTTGGTGATTTAAGCAACATTATTCATCGAAAATGTTTCAAATTTAGAATTTGAAGTTCGTAATGGATACTACAGCATATGACAGAAAACTGTCTGTGCAGGTCCACGACTTCCTATAGCCCTAATATAAGGGTACCTCCCGATATTCGGTATTTTGATGATTTTAGCGATATTATTCACTGAAATTGTTTCAGATTTTGTATATGAAGTTCGCAATAGATACTACAGCCTATGCCAGAAAACTGTCTGTGCACGTTCACGTCTTCGTATAGCCCCAATTTAACGGTACCTCCCGATAATCGGTGTTTTGATGATTTTAGCGAATTGTTTCATATTCGGTATTTGAACTTCGTAATGAATACTACAGCTTAAGACAGAAAATTTTCTGTGCAGGTCCACGTCTTCGTAAAGCCCTCACCTCCTTATATTCGGTATTTTGAAGATGTTAGCGACTTTATTCACCGGAATCGTTTCAAATTTGGTATTTGAGGTTCATAATGGATACTAAAGCCGAAAGCAAAAAATTGTCTGTGCTGGTCCACGTCTTCGTGTAGCCCCCATATAACGGCATCTCCCGATATTCGGTATTTTGGTTATTTAAGCGACATTATTCATTGGAATTTTTCATTAGCGACATTATTCGCCGGAATCGTTTCAAATTTGGTATTTGAAGTTCGCAATGGGTACCACAGCCCTTGACAGAAAATTGTCAGTGCAGGTCCACGTTTTGGTATAGCCCTCATATAATGGTATCTCCCGATATTCGGTATTTTGATGATTTCAGCTACATTATTCCCGGAATATTTTTTCAAGTTTCGCATTTGAGTATTTTAATGGCTTATGACAAAAGTTGCCTATGCAGGTCCACGTTGTCGTATAGACCCTAATATAACTGCTACATTCGGAATTTTTAAGATCTTATCTGAATTTTTAACAGATTTTTTTTTTTGAAAATTGCCAAATCTGTTTCATATGGTGGAGGGTATTCAAAGTTCCTCATTGGCTGTAGTACCCATTAGAACCTTCAAATACGAAATTTGAAACTACTCCGAAGAATAATGTCTCTAAAGTCATAAAAATACCGAATATTAGAAGATATCATTATATAGGGGCTATACCAAGACGTGGACCTGCATATGTAATTTTTTATTATAGTCTGTAGTACCGATTCCGAACTTTAAATACAAAATTTGAAATAATTCCGATGAATAATAAAAAAAGTAAAGGAGGAACCGTTACATTTGGGCTATACGAAAACGTGGGCCTGTAAATCTAATTTTTTGTCATAGGCTATAGTACCCATTATAAGGGATGTATCTTTATATAGGGGCTATACGAAAGCGTGGACAGCATAAGTATTTTTTTTTTTTTATAGATTGTAGTATCCATTATGATCTTCCAGTAAAAGATATGAAAATATTGCGCTCTATAATGTCGCTGAAATGAGTATTTCGAGGAGTTACATCTGTTGATTTTGGGCTTAGGCGCAGCCCGTCCCTGCACGATCTTGGTGAGAAAACCGAACTAGATCTGGGAGACCATGTATCAGGCTGAGACCAATGCATCAGGCTGGATTTAATTATAATCATAATATAACGGAATAACAATCTCTTCCTAAGTTGCCAATTATAGCAATCCTGGCCTCCTAGCCAAACTGCATATTTCTCTCTCTGTAGCACCACTAATCGAATCAGCGTGTAATACATTGCTCATCACACGCATTTTGCGGATGCATTTTGTTCCCCCCAAATGCTATCCAAACAAGCCCATGTAGGAAACAGGCAGAAAGCTGGCAGCCAGCAGGCAGGCTGGCAGGCCGGCAAATGCAATAAAACCAGAAACCTATAACACAAATACATGATCTGTTTTTATTATTATTAGAGGCAACCACGCACTTTTTTGCAACAGCAACAACAACAACAAAAATAGTTGCATTAGTTGTTGGGATTACGATTACGAAGCATATGTTTTATTCATAGAAAAGAAAATGTTTCTTGTTTTATTTTTGCAAATTGTTTTCCGAGTCATCATCGACCACCAGCACATGTTAACAGGAAAATGCCAGAATAACGCGATTCCTCTAATTCTGCAAATAGATTTTTGAATTTTAGCAAAAACTCGCTCGGTGAGCTAGTGAGGAAAAGGAAGGGAGGAAAGCAAAACATTTCAAAATTTACAAAAAGATTGCCTGCAACAAATTCTTGGCCTCCCGTCCGGGCCGACAACCTGGGTGAATGTTGTTTAGATTTTACGGTCAAGTTGGGGAAGTTGTGGCCCGAGTTGGGTGCTCGGTATGTTTTATCGAAATTATGTTTGCTATTCGTTCTTTCTATGCCACAGCGAGAAAAGTGCATGATGAATTTTGAACAAAATTCTAAATGAAAAATAAACAAAATATTTGGGGAAAAAACTGAACTGATTACAAACAATGACCGCAAAATGTAGGGCCAACATCAAGTCAAATAAATAATAATGACAAACATAAACAGCAACATCAACACAAGACAAGGAGGCACAGATGCTGCTGTGCGAAGGCAGGGAAATCGTTGGAGACAAATGATTGTTTTGGTTTCTTTGTGTCAGTTTGTGTCGGCATTTCGCATTGGCTTCATTTTGGTCAAATTGGGAAAGACATTTATTTTGGCGTTTGTTGTAAATATTTTTGCACAATTTTGTGGTTTAGATTTTTGGTTTTATTTTTAATTGTATTTCCATAATGGAGGAATATGTAGACAATTTTGCTTGAATTCGAAATAAAATTAAATATCCCCAAATATCCTATTATAAACAAGATACCTAATTTTGAGGTTGTTAATTTTCCGCAATCTGCAAAAATATGCTTCAAATTTTTTAGCTGCCCAAATGTCGATGTTTTATAAAATTAGTTGAAATATCCGAAAGCTGAGTACACTAATTTAAAAATAGGGACAGAACTTTTAATACCCTCCATTATTTGGAAGAAACTGGAAGAATTAAAAAAAAAAACAAATTGAAAAATCTGTAAGTTCGACCAGGCCGACTTTTGAATACCCTCCACCATTGGGAACGAATTTGGCAATTTTCAAAAAACAAAATTCGTTAAAAATTCTGTTAAAATCTCAAAAATACGGAATGTAGCCGTTATATAAGGGTATATATGACGACGTGGACCTGCATAGGAATCCTTTGTCATAAGCCATTAGAATATTTAAATGCGAAACTTGGAAAAAAAACAATTCCGGTGAATAATGTCGCTAAAATCACCAAAATACCGAATATCGGGAGGTACCGTTATATTGAAGACGGGACGGGGACCGGCACAGACAATTTTCTGTCTTAGGCTGTACTATGCATTACGAAATTCAAATACCAAATTTGAAACAATTTCGGTTTATAATTTCGCTAAAATCACCAAAATACCGGAAAAGGGAGATACCATTATATTGGGGCTATACCAAAACGTGGGTATATATATACCCTCCATACTATGGTGGAGGGTATAAATTTCTCTTCGAATAGTACCGTTAAAATGAAAACCGTTATATGGGGGCTATACGAAGACGAGGACCTGCATAAGTATTTTTTTTGGCATTGGCTGTAATACAAAATCCGAACTTCAAATACGAAATTTCAAACAATTCCGGTAAATAATATCGCCAAATCACGGATATATGGAGCCTACACGAAGACGAATAAATATGGTGCTTAGACTGAACTTCATGTATGGATTTTTAGACAATTCCATTAAAAATGTAGCTAAAATCATCAAAATACCGAATATAGGGGGGTACCGTTATATGGAGGATATACGATATCGTGGAATTCTATAGACAATATTCTTCCAGGGGTAAAGTACTCAGAAGGAACTCCTTTTGTGGATCTTCAGACAATATTACTGACAAATTTCGCTACAATCATCAAAATTCCGAAAGAGGGGGTGGGGGTACCGTTATGTGGGGTAATAAGATATCGTTGACTGATATAGCCCATCTTCGAACTTGACCTGCCTGCAGACAAAATACTGAACTGTGCAAAATTTAAGCTTCCTATCTTTATTCGTTTTGACTCTAGCTTGAGGGCTAAATCGTCTTAGAATTTTACGCTGATCAAGAATATATATATACAGGGTGAGATGAAAAAATTGCAACCAACTTCAGACTGATGCCATTACTAAGCCACTCGTCCGACAGCTGTTAAAATTATTCCAGTGGCAGCTCTTATATTGTTTACAAGCGTACAAAAGCATTTTGTTGAGAATTTTAGAGAAAAAAGTTATTCGTGACGGAATTCATGCGTGATAGTGTGATTTCTTTATATTTGGCTGGAACACCACAAGTGGCTATCGTTAGAGCACTCCAGCATTTAAATGCGAATAAATCTTTTGTGTA